GCCATGTGCAATGAAGTACAACGTAGCCTTCACAACCTGTTAATATTTTCTGTTTTCCTAAAAAGCTAGGTTCCGTCTTCCTGCTACGTTCTACTCATTCCCGTACCTACTCTACCTTCGGCATGCCCATTGGACCACGCCACCCCCAGTGAGTCAGCGGGGCCCTTCAATGCCCTAGTACTCCGTAGTCTACAAGGACCATCCAAGGCATGCGGAACTGGTTGCCTGAGGAGACGGAAGGTGAACTGAGTCCGGACAGTGAAGTAGGTGACGACAGGCGACTACGTGTAGTGTTCAGCACTACCTTCCTCGTTTAGCAGCGAAGTTCAATGCAATTCGCAAGCGCTCGTCGGGGTAAATATTGTGAGGAACGGCGCGAGCAGGAACAACAAAAATGATTGAAACGGAACCGCCGAATGGTAACAAATTCCGACGAAAACTCGTCGAGCTCCTCGCAGCTTTTTTGCAACCCCGTGCCAGCACACTTCTCACTTCCTCGTTCACACTCTTGACAAGCTCCCGATAATCGAAAGACACATTCCAAGACCTTCAGCATGGCAGGACGGTACGTTTAGCAAGGTGAGCAAACCAGGGCAGGTCTAGTCCTGCCAGTCGCTCGAAGTTAAGTTGTGTATGCGCGCCGCCGAGCAGCGTGAATGGCGCATATTCAATTACTTGCGGTTCCGACACCGAAGCTGCCTTGCTTCTACTCGGGGTCAAGCAGGTGTGGTATCTAAAAACCTGATGGGCGATGTATTGCCCTCAGACCTTCGTAGTGCCTGGGTGCATAGAATGTCCCTCCCGGTTGGTCACACGAAAAAACATGACACCAGTGCAGAGACGTTGCAGTCTACATTACAGTTCATCTCCATTGTTCTACGACTACAGTAGATTAGTCTGTTGGGGATGGATTCCGGGCGACTCCTGGTGCGCTCTTTCTTACCACGTGGTTCTGGATGGTTCGCGAGGACACAACGCGAGCAACCGACTACGCTCGCCCCGTATAAGCGTCGGCCACTGTGCCCTCCTGCGTCATTCTTCCTTGCGAATCGTAGTCTAATCAGAATGCCTATGTTGAGCTCGTGCCGTTAGCGTGACTGACTAAGCATTGATCGAAGCCGTAGTGAGGAAAATATCGTTAATGGTCCTGCAGAATATGTTGTTTAGTGTTCAAGGTAAGATCAAGGCGACAGAACACAGCATAGATTTTACACGCCGGGTACATTGCTTCGCGGACATGTGCACATGACAAAGGTTTCTGAATGCATACTGATCTGGTCGTTGTTTGCAAATAGTTGCTACGTTGACAAGATGCCCATTTTGTGCACGATGCTGTTCCCAAACCCTGCCGAGTTGGGGTGGGGTCCACTGGCTCTCGCACCGAACCAAGTAAGTGTGCCGAAGCGAATGTTGGTGAAGCTTTATAATGCGGAATTCGTGATATTTTGGCGGAGATGAAATCCAACAATGATTGGGGTGGTCGGAGAGTTACCGTACACAAACCATCAAATACATACCGTTATCGCCTCCTTGATCTGCCCCAGACCGAATCCTTCCTCGTCCAACTCGGCGTTGCTGGCCGTGGACCCCTCGGATCCCTGGGGAACTCGCTGTTGGTGACCTTGAGGCCCCGTCTCGTTCCCCTTCTTCGCCGAAGCGTCTGGCGCTGGTACGACGGGCGGCATGCCTGAGTGGTGGCAAACACGAGCGGGGCGAGATGCCGCCCGTGCTGCGCCACGTTGGAGAATTTTTCCCTCCAATTGGTCCCATAGTGCCCGCCCTTCCTTGGTCCCGGTGGAGATATACTTTCAGGGCCTCGATTTCGTTGTCCTTATCGATGACCTGCAGGTCGGCGATAAGGACGAAGAAATCGAGGCCCTGAAGGAAGGTCTCCACCGGGACTAAGGAGAAGGGCGGTCCCTATGAGACCAGTTGGAGGGAACATTTCTCTAACATCAACGTCACGCCGCAAGGGAGGCATTTCGCTCCGCCTGTGCTTGCCACCACACAGGGCTGCCGTCCATCGTACCAGCGCCAGACGTTCCGGCGAAGAAAGAGGACGAGACGGGGCCTGAACGCCAGCAGCAGCAAGTCCCCGAGGGCTCCGACGCGCCCGCGGCCAGCAACGCCGACTTGGACAAGGATTGATTCGGCCTGGGGCAGATGAAGGAGGCGATACTTCGGTCCATGGTGGTGTTCAAGCAGGAGGAGAAGCGCGACCTGCAAGAGGGGAAGGCACCATCGGCACCGCGGGCCAAGGCGACAGCAGCACCGGGAAACTACATGCATCGTTACTCCAAGTATGAATATCGCAACCAAGCGCTGTAGGCTCAAATCACACGTGGTCGCCAAGGGACCCCAACCCCGAACACAGCTCCCTGATACTGTAGGGTATCCACACATTGCTATGTTAGTGTTTTGGCGATGTTTTCGGCAAAAGAGCACTCGACGTTCATAGCGGAGCGAGTGAGTCATTTCAACGCACTCAAGGGTTCTCAACGGAAACTACAAGAAGAATATTGTATGCGACGAGGTCGACCGCAGCTACCAGTGTGCCGTCGAAGTCAAACATGTAGCAGACCACCCAATAGCGAGATTGGCAGGGTGTGATCTGTCTCTTTAGGCAGTAGCATCGTTAGTGCTCTCGCCACCGTCATCGCCGCCGTTCTGACCAACCCCTTCACCACCCGCCCGCTTCTTCCTCTATGGTGTTGGGCGCGCGGAGAAAGAGCGACAAGAAGGAAGAAGCCCCCAACCATGGCGTCAACCAACCCGTGGGAGTTTTTCACGGACGACGAGAACGAGGATGAGGAGGGCGAGGGCAAGGGAGCCAAAGGTGAGCTCCCTTCTAGGTGCTGCTGCAGTTCGATGCACTTATCTCAGGTAGCAGGACCATCCTCTCGACCCTTCACGGGTCCTTCGTGTTGTGGGTGAACGTCTGACATCCCGGTTTTACGAGGGTCACGACGTTCTCTGCAGCATGTGAAGTGCAAGTGATCTAGCTGTCCGTATTAGCTCTCCGTTTTCGTGATCAAGACGAAGTCCTTCTTCATTCTCCCTATCTACTCGGTTAATCGTGTACTCATTCACCCTGTAATGTTGCAGGAGCGAGGCCCGCCGACGCCACGCCCATCACGTCGCCCCCTCGGCAGAGGTCGAACCCGCGACAAGTTCCCGAGCCAGAGTCGCCGCCGGGGCACCAATAATGGGCACTAAGAGTGCTAGCCTAGCCCGACAGGGTCGTTAGCGGCGTGGCTCACACCGGGCTTTCCATAGATTGCAAGAGGGGGCTCGGGGTTGCACTGTATGCAATATTGTGCCTCCTGAACGCTTGATATTCTGATATGACGAGGACCTATGTGTCGTTGTAGAAGTAGGCCACGGATTCTACCAAGAAGGATCACACCGTATCGTACACATGCCAATTATATAGAAGAGACCTGAAGGATTTGACAAAGACCTCGTGGACACACCCTGTTCTTGTAGGTTGATGGGCCTTAACAGACAACCAGCCTCCTCGCGTTACCTTGGTCGCGTGGCGTAGAGGGGGCTGGAAAATCGCAGGAAATCACAGGTCTGGGGCCAACATCATCTTCATTCAGTATCTCGATGCTTTTGCTGCTTGCGCTGGAAAACGTCATGGGGATGTTTGTCCCATTCACTTCACATGCTGCTCCAAATCATGTATCGAATTCAGCAGGCAGCACGACTGGCAGTGCGCATAGGCAACACGAGTAGTCCAGTACCAACGAAGAAACTATCAAAGAATCACTCAAAATGGTGTGGCAGGCTCCAGAACATGAGCAAAACTGACGTTGAGCCGCTGTGTTTACCAACCAATTGGACCAACTCATCGATTGTCAATCAATGCATCTCGAGGTTCCGTTTTTATAGGCGGCAGCCCATCCAGTTGAGTCTCCATCGAAGTGCTCAAGATCGAACTGAGGCTAAAACACGCAAGAGGCATGCGAACCTGGCGACAACCTCGAAGTGATCAATATATTTCACTGGATCATTCCAAACATTCAAACCATAAATTTATTGATCTCGGGGCAAACTTCACATTTTATAAATCGTTGTCGTTGCTAGGGGTTCACTCCTTCATGCCGCAGCAATTACGCATCCATGCCCCTTGCGCTCTGTAGGATGAGCGGCCTGTCACACAGAAGATGCAAGCGGGTTTGACGCCATGCTCATAGTCTAGTCGGTCACACGTCGAACGCCGACAGTGCTACAGAAACACCATAAGCCGATATTGTTGTGCAATAATCAGAGCACAGCAAGCCTTTGGAACCCTTCGGGAGGTAAAAAAAAGCAAGGGGGAGGGGAGCACATATACCCAGAGTACGCACGACTCTTCCCGCCCGCTCGAGCTACGGCTAATGTGTGTCTCCATATATTGCCCCGCGCCTTATGCTAAACCGAAACGCACCGGGCCGAAGAACAAGTGCTAACGCCACCCTTCCTTCTCTCTCGCCAGCACGAAACGCCGTCCAGCACGCAAGCTGGCATTGGCCGCGCTACAAAGTTTTGAAGGGTGTAGGGCAGAGAACAACTCGAACCCGGAACCTTTGAGCCTCCCCTCATCACGTTCGTTCGTGATCAATCGTCGTCGTCGTCGTTGTTGTTGTTGTGTTGTTGTTGTTGTTGTTGTTGTTGTTGTTGTTGTTGTTGTTGTTGTTGTTGTTGTTGTGTTGTTGTGTTGCAGCATACAATATCTACGTATATCCAACCATGTCTGAATCATGCGACAATTGCAATTTGCTGTAATCCGTGTGATTCGGGTATTTTTGTTCTTGTCCGGCCGTAGGACCAGCCAATCGACCAGCACGTACGTATCCTTGTGTCCCTGAGAGGGAACTATTTGACCCAGCCGTCGCAACAAAACTATGTTACTGCTGCACTGTTATTGCAAAAATTTTTCTGTAGAGTTGAGGCGTATTGCTGAGTTGGGGATGCAAGCAGCGAATGCATCGTGAAAGCTGTCAAGGTTTGGATTTATGATGGACGTCGTCGTTCCGGCGGCTCGCAAGGCGGACGTGAGTCATACTCGTTTTCCAAACACGAGTTGGTCTGCCACATGCACCGTATTAGATATACTTCTCCAACGCTTTCTCCAACGCCGCCTTAATCTCTCTCTCTTGGCCTAACACGGCCAACTACCCCGTGCCCCAAGTAACGCCCAGCACGGGCTTGCTGCACCTCCACGCAGTTTACCTTTCACACCGCATCTCTGTTCCCGAGGCTATTTCCTTTCCTTGTTTCTCGTCTTTGTCTGTCCCTGTCTCACGGCACTCGCGCCAACCCCAACCCCGCGTCCACGTCGTGATCGCCCATGTTCTCGCTTGTACTCCTTGCGATGACGTGCTTCGCCCCCTGCTAATACCTCGCGCTAATCGATGAACGCGTAGTAACGCGTGGTGCCCGTTGGGCGATCTACATTCACAACACGCACGGGCGGTAACTCACTCATTATGTATTGAACTCACTCACTCACTCACTCAAAGTGCGTGGACGGGCGTTTTTGGCACGGCCGGGGCCAGCTGATTGGTGCTAACCATGTTGTAGCAAGTGATCTGAGTCATGGGTATATTGATGAGCCGGTGATTCATGGCAATGTTTCTTCTTCTGGACTGTGCCGTAGTCCACCAATCAGCTATCTGCAGCTACAGCAGTACCTCCCGCAAGGTCGATGAAGTTTCCATGAAGAACATGTGGCGCTCTTCCTGGTCTCCGTTGCATTCCTCTTGGGAATGGAGTTCATACGTGCATACGAAAGATGACCTGCTGTCCGCGCCGTGCCGCCTGAGACATGCTTGTCGGTCTTAGGGTCGACCTTTCGGGTGTACTTTTCGACATGAATGCACGAACGCTCCTGGAACCTGACTGCACCACGATGTCTTGCCGTGCATGCCTCACAAACTGGGATGACATTCGCCAGAGCTGCATGTGGAACCCTCGTCGTGGAACCCTGTCGCTCACGTGCGCTGCTGCCGTCTGCAGCTCGCCCAATAGGAATCCCGACAACCCATAGCCCGAGAGTTAATACGCGCGTCACCTGGTCGAAAGCAGCAGTCGAAACATACCGACATGACGGTATGAATGCTGTGCAACAGTTGCATCTCACGGCAGTTTTTCGCGCAACGCTTTTCCATTTTTCGGGGGAGGGGGGACGGTGGCGACGTCTCATTTTCTCAGATTGTCTTAGACCTGCTCTCCACACACCTCACACTGCTGGACGGCCCGTGAGGTCCGTGGGGCGTTGCTGGTTTGGCCAATGGAGGCACGCTCGTCACAGGGTCCTGGTGATCCTTGCCTATCCGTTGCGCTTACATTGTTGTCGACCCAAGTTGGTGGATTTAAGGTAGGTTTGGCAGTTGCGCCGCATTTACGTCCATGGTTGTGCGGAGGCAGGATGGCAGGATGCTCGACATTGACCTAGCGCAAGATCTCCTCAACCCTATGTATGAAAGACGGCCCTTTCGCTCAATGTGTCATCTTACATGTAGGGTGGAAGGCGAAAGGGTCACTCGTAGTTCACGGACAAGATGAGATTGCTTGGGTGTACCGTCACGGGACTGTCATTTTCCGCCCTATGGCATCTCGCGGAGAAAAGGCTTACTACCATGTGCCGAGTGCCGAGTGTATACATCTGCGAGTCCTTTTGAGTTGGTGTCTGCAGATGATCGACACGTACGTTGCATTTCCATATCCTGAAGGCACCCGACCTAGACTACTGCTAGTGAAAATATATTGAAGAGCGTTCCCACAAATCGTTGATAGGGTAGTCTACATGTCCTGCATATATGCCTTTGGTGCGTGAGTGGGCACGACCTGCGCCACTACTGTGTCTCCTCTCTCACTTTGCAACCACTCCCGCCGTGCGTCGACTCGCTACACCCGTGGCACATTGCATGCTCACCGCCACTCAACTGGCTGCTTCGGCAACGAAAGGAAGGAGATGTGGCTCCCGTGGCTGTCGCCGCGGCCCTCGACTTTCTCTCCTCGCCGTGCAGGACTAGCGCGCGGTTCCCTGGACTACGCGTCGTGTTTGCGGCCGAGGAAGGATCGACCGCTCTGGTGGCCTTAAGAGAGCACGCCCCAGCCTTGGCGGAAGCGGGACACGAATCGTGAGTCGTGCACTGAAAGTGGCCGATTTGTGTATGGGCGAGTCATGAATCGTGAGTCGTGCAATCACGTTGGCCGAGTGTAGGGACGCCAGTAGGAACAAGCAGGTACACCAGGAGGTGAGCTGCAGCCGCAGGGCAGAGCATCCAAATCGTCGAAGGGGCGGAGCGTTCACCTTGAGTAGCCACCAGCGAGAGCGCGAACTCGTGAAACAAGGAAAAGTCTAATGCGCCCTGCTTCGGGTGTAGTGAGGCATTTTTTGTGTGGTGTGAACCGCTGCCGACTTTGCTTGCCGATCGATGTTGGGCGGAAATATTCTGTGCTCTACTGTTAGCGTGGATGCCTACAATTTCCATGAGTAATTATCAAAACCGGTCGCCCACGCGGTCTAGTGGCGAGGTCGTGAGTTCGAATCCCCATGGGGTGAAAAATTTCAACTTTGGGGGTGAAAGCGAAAAAAGGCTGAAAAGCGCTCGTGAGTACCAAACTTCGACGTTAGCACCGTCGACGAGGGAAAGGGACGGCTGGACCCTTCTCGCAAAAAAAATAAAATTCAGCACGCACCGTAGGAGGAAGGTGGGGCACGAAGAGAAAAGAGAAGAAAAAAGCCCCAGTGTTTACCCCCTCCTGTGTGACCCTGGATGGTTGTAGTTGTACGAAAAAGTATGCTGAAAAGTGTAGTACTCCTGTGTAGTACACGCCTCACCGCGAAAAATGGGGGGACTGTCGCCATAATAAATAGGGCGAAAACACACGCACACTTATTGGGATGAACGGGCTCTCTCTCAACAGGCGGTTGGTGATGAAAGCGTGCGCGTTGCCAGATGTGAGCAAGGCCGGGGCCCGCTGCGCCTACCTCGTCAACCCTTGCAACTGGCGCCTGGTGAGTTATCATTTTGGTTATTTCGCGACTGGTCATGATGAATGGGGACAGCAATGAAATGCGACAGACCCAACGTGCTTCGGTCACCACTTGCCCTGCCACATGATCTAGCCCAAGGTTTGGATTGCCCTGTGGCCGTATAACCATGTAGCTCCGCTGCTCGGTGCGCCACCTGCCGGCTCGCCACCCCTGTTGTCACCGAAAGGCCTCACCTCACAGCGGACCTCTGGCGACCAAGTTCTTCTCAACCAAATTTGACGCTGGGGAATTGAGTGTGTGCGCCAGCGTCTGCCAGTAGCATCGACAATGGTGTTTGGCGAAATTTCAAACTTCCAACACAGGTCGCTGGTGGCGCGAGGACAAACATGCTCGTCAACCGTGCTGCGGGAGATTCTCTACGGCAGGGTAGCTTAGAGGGCGGCCGTACGAGAGCTCTGGTTGCGGAACCTTTCGCGGTTAAGGTGTGAATCTTCCAGGCTATGGATACGGGTAGCACTAACAGAGCGGACTTTTCGAAGGAGCGCTCGTGGCGAAAGATTCTTGCCGAGGTTGCAGCGGACGTAGAAGAACGCGATTTACCAGAAAAGGACTGTTTTCGATGAGCAAGAGGGCGCCGGCGTTTCGTGGACCCCGTCGTAGCCTCGAAGAAGGTTGAAGCACACAGAAATGACGTGCGTCGTGCATTGAAGTTCAGTCAGATTACCCTCATTGTTTACAAAGTGTTCGCGAGAAATTTCTAGGTAGGAGGTAACCGAATGGTTTCGCGAAACGCACGCCGCCCCCGAAATGTTACAGCTCTCCCAGGACTCTCCTCTGCGCAGCGAAGGAGTCGATACCGTGATCCAGGTGTGTGCGCGATTGGTGAAGCAAAATATGAAAAGTGGATCCCAAGGCGTTGAATAGACGCGTCGCAAGGATAGAATGGAAACGATGTGCCCCAGGAGTGGGTAAGCTCGTGTGGGTCGGGCGCTCAAATCACATGCACTGCAGGGTAGGAGATCTCTTTGTGCGACACCACCCAGTCGACCGGATCCATCTCGTGTCGTCGTGTCTATCTGGGGTGTTTCGTACTCCAGTGCTTTTTTTCTCCCCCAAGAGAACGAAGCTCATAAGCGACCGTGTTGACGTTCAATGCTAAAACGATCATGGAGTGATGCAGCGCGATGACTCAGCGCCGTCATGCAGTTGCGGCGATGATTTTTCGCAGAAATATCAAGCATTCTTTTGCAGTGATGCAAACGTGTCAGTTTCGTATCATTCGGTTTATAGAAGACCCACCCCCTGCACTAAGTCTACGTGCTTGCGTATCGTGCGCCAATGAACGTGTGATGGTCCAGGTGCTCGGACCGAACCTAGACCCGCGGTTCCCCGAGTGCCTTGCCAACGAGCCCGACCGAGCGCGCTACCTCCTCCGTCAGTGCTACGACAAGACCCTCGATAGCTTCTGGAAACTGGTATCGTCGGAAACATCCGGCGCAGCTGCCGTTGTCGCTACGCCCACTGCTGCTGCCGATACCGCTGCGGCGGCCTCTGCTGCTGCTGCTCCGGGTGCCAGTGGTGGTGGTGGTGGTGGGCACTGTAGTGGTAGTGCCGCTGCTGCTGATACTGGGGTCGGGAAGGGGGCCGTGACGAAAAGGAAACGGTGAGTAGAAGAAGATATCTGACGTGTTGTTCGCGTTCATCTTTCGTTCTTCACTCGCCCGCCACTGTTGTTCTTCACTGTTCGGGTTTGGTGATGCTGTGATGCATGCTGCTGTCGTGCGTGGCCGTCGCTTGAATTTGGTTTGTTGTGTTGAAGGCGCCCTTGCACTCGGTGCCGTGGGAAGCTAGCGCCTGTTGAAGGGTTTCGGCTTGCTCATTTCTTGTGGATGCTTTATGGCCACCTGGTGTTGTACATCCGGTGTCCCGCGATTGGCCATTTGACTGTTGGTACTCACGCTGGATGCTTGCTTGCTGATGATGCGTGCTAGAAAGTTTGCACAACAGCAATGAATGGCCGCCAGGGTTGATGTTGATAATTGTGTTCGTGTTTGATGTTCTCGTTCACCGTCTTTATTTCGCTTTCCCCACATTTTCCCTCCGTATTATTGGCGACCTTCCGCGCAAGAGCCTTAGCATTGCCCGAGTACCGACGAACACCACCAACTCCCGTGAAAGGCGCCGGGCACTGGAAGGCGGTGCTGTTTCAGTACCTGAAGGATGAGCCGATGCCCGTCGAGCTACAGGTACAGCGGGTCTATGTACTACGTCGAATCTATCAAGTTGTCGCGGACATGATACGGCATGTTGGGGGGGGGGTCGCCATTCGTACCGGCGCAAGGTGTGGGGCGGGGAATGCGGAAGGTGGGCGGGGGCGTGTTCTTCGAATTGGTTCGGAGTTCATTTCATGCCTTGGCGAGCACTTACTCTGTTTGTAGTCCGTGCGGAGGTATTTCAATTACGGAAAAAATTAACAGTATTTCTACTAGAGCTCATGGTGGTGTTTCAGCACTTACTCCACGTGTACCAATATCGATTGGATCAATCCCGCGCACCTTGACCTCATTGGTCATTGTGTACGCCTGGCCGCCGTCACCAGCGATTTCACTCCCTTTGAGGGAAATTGTGCTTGGTTGCCTGGGGTTTCAATTTGAGAAACTCGTATGCTTTCGTGCTGTAAACGCATGAGGATTTCGAAAACGTTTTTTTCATGAGTTCTCGTTCGTCGGCGGCGTATACACGCCCGAACACCCCTCTAACCTCTTTGGGCACAAGCTCGAGTTTCGCGTTGGCATTGTTTACCCCCTTACCGACGCTGCCATTCGAAAATATATTTTATATGTACTGTGCCACTCGCCTGCAGCGCGAGGTCTATTTCTCGGATAACCAGTGCGTTGTCGTCTACGACGGCTACCCCAAGTCACGGTACCACCTGCTCCTGCTGCCCAAACCGAAGGTGGGAGGTATGGCGTGAGAAACGTTATTTTCGTCTTGCTGATGTGTTCTACCGTTCTACCTCAGTGTTCGGGTCGCCCTACCTTTGTTGCTGTTTTTCTTGGCTTGTCTTCGCATTGTTTTCAAGCCGTGCTTGGCTCTGTCGTTTCACTTGTTCCGTGAAATGAAGCGGGACCTCTTGCTCGGGCTGGCTGCATACCCGTGTTGAGAGTGACGAGAAGGTTCTTCTATGCTGTTCGGGTTGATTTAACGCTTCCACACTGTGTTGTTTGGTATTGCAGCGCGGCCCCCGGAGGTAAAAGTATTGTCTCTGCTGCTTTTCCCACCGCGTAACTTCCGCGTCGCAACGAGCTCGGGGAACTTCCTCCAAAGAGAAGATCGTTTTGCCTGCCCAATACATACATCGTTCGAAATGTGGCAGGAATCGAGCGAGTGATCCAGAGATATGTAAGAGTGTGTGGCGATCAGTCTCGACAGGGAACGTGTACGTGTCTCGCCCTAACACCGCAAACGAAAAAGGACATGTGTAAACGCACACGTACCACGTTCTCCTGTCTCCTGGCGGTCGCTCCCAAGGTTCCCGTACACGGCTCCCATGCCTACTACTGCTGTGGCTCCTTAATCCGTGCTCCCTCGTTGTATTCCTTCGATGCCAACAACGAAAAACGAACTCCGCGCCTTCACCGTGAAGTTCCTGGACGTGAAACAAGCTTCGGAGCTCCGCCGGGATGAGCACCTCTCAAGCCTGCGCCAGCTACACGCCACAGCAACGGCGGTGGCGGAGGCGTTATCTCAACAGGGGGCTGGGGTTATCAGGTACGGTGAACGGTACCGCCATTGACTGCAACAATGTGTACACTTATGGATTCCCGGGTGTGATTTCTTGGTGTTTTTTTTTTTATCGGGCAACTCATCGCGTGCAGTTTGGACGGGAACGAACGGAAGAGAGGGGAGTCGAGTGGAAAACACGCGAAGAAAGGAGATTTGTCGTTCCGGGAAACCGCAGGTTACATGCGAACAATTCGTCTCCACTGCTGGCCGGTTTGCCGGATATGTCGACATCAAAACAATTCTGCCTAGGCGGGGTGCACGGAATCGCGACCCCGCGGGTGAACACGCCGTCATGTTCCAGTTTGACCCTGACACACAGAACGCTCTGATTCTTGGCATTCGATCGCTTGGATGGCGAGAGTCACTTGCCATGTTTCTGCGAGTGACCCCAAAGTCTTGATGATAATTTTGTGAGCCGCTGTCAGAATGAAGGCGCGGAGAGTCGTCGCTGTATTCGAAGGCACTACCAAGTCATCGCAGTGACACTTCTAAATTGCTGCATCCCGCATGCAATCATTGTCAAGGTGCGGCTATCACGGCATTCCGTCGCTGGAGCCACTGCACCTGCACATCATCAGCCAGGACTTCGACAGTGAACGTCTCACAAAGCGCAAGCACTGGAACAGCTTTACCACAGGCACGTGTATGAAACGTCATCGCTCTCCGCCGCTGCTGAGGATGCTCGACCGTATTTTGGCCTGGCCTTGATGTGCACGTTTGGTATTAGAGAAAGCAGTGGGAGAACCAATCGTGGAAACGAGACTCTCGAATCGGCATTGAAGACCTATTTTATCTACCTGTAGAAGAAGCAACTTGTGCCGGGGTTTCGGCCTGCTCGAACACGTAAAACTATTTTGAGTTCAAACACACCTAGCGCTACTGTCTTTTCGACACCAGGGTGAAAACTGATGCCAAACTTCTATGAGCGTGTGCCGGGTGTGGCCAACGTGGGCAGACTCTGCCTTAGGTGATGAAATTTTCACCACAGCTTTTGAAATGTAATGCTTCCGGGGTCGTTGTCGCTTCACAACGCCCGGATGCACATGTTTCCATCCGTGGTTGCCCTTGTGACCCCGTTCAACACTGGCTCTAACCTTGATGGGTTCGGGTTAGCACAATTCGAGGCACGATCACTTTGGCAAGGCTTATGTGTGATATACCGAGGGTGTCGTTTGTACCGCTGCTGCATGTTTGCCATCCGTTTCCATGAGGCGTGTGGGCCCACTATTGGTTCCACCACCTTCCAGCCAAGCCACGTTTCACTCTTTCCAACAATACCCAACCATCCTATGAACGCTGGTCTGAGCGTAATTCATTCCCATGTACTGTCATGCTATTTTCCCGAAACCCTGTGGAGGCTGACCCGGCCTAGTCGTGCACGGGCTGAGCTTAAGTTTGGTCCCAATTTCTTATATGATGTTTGTGTCTTTGGTGCGTATTGTCCATTTACCACCCCACCCATTTAGTTTACCACTCTACCCATTTACCACGCCTTCACTTGGCTTTTTTGGGTATCTGGGACTCTCCCCGCATTCCGCAGATTTTTTCCTGGATGCTTCTTGGGTGGAAGCGCGGCTGCTGGAGCGTGGGAGTCTCGGGCTCGACAAAGAGAGGTGCTTTGACATTCGAGAGCTTCACACGCTCCCCATTCCTCATGAAGACTCATCTCATTGTACATATACGGGCCTTTTCGATATTTTCGTGGATCCGGCGAGGTTTGTTCCTGGGCATACATCGAAGTTAGCCGCGCGCTATTTGCCCTGGGTACATCCTGGTCGGCATGAATATACCGTCAGGATTGCGTTTCAGCGGTAACGAGAGTTGCTACAGAAACGAGGCCCAAATCACTCGTTGTCGTTCGACGAACAGTTAACGGTGCGGACACATACCGTCCCCCACGTTGATGTTGCCTGTGTAGAATGCATTTTCCTGGCTTCGTTGCTGGTATTGTGAGGGTGTACGCTCGCGTGGTGCAGCCCGTGCGTCATTATTGCAGCTGCAGAGCATACCCGCTGTACCATATCACCTCCCCTAATGTCTCTTTGTTATTGGATGTTGGCAAGCGCCTGCCCTCGGCGGGGAGCAGCCAGCGGGAAACTTCCGTTGTGTACGAGAGTGACACAAAGTGTGCCTCTTTCAGTCTGTCAGGCCATCCATGCTGTTGTGCACAGGATTAACCCCGTCCTTCATTTTTAAGTGCTCGATTCAACACGAACCTCATGCACGGCAGGGTTTGGAGACTTTCGGAGTCGTCAAACGCACTTTAACCACTCAAAATCTTCCGGGTAACAACCGATTTTGCTTGCTTCATGTTCCGCGGTTAGTAATGATGAAAATGTGACGTGGATGTTCTTCTTCCTGTTGTGACTCTCGCTTCCAATTGGTTTGTGGGTGGTTGTTCTTTTCCGCAGGTTGAAGGCGCTGGAAGCTACTCCGCTACGATGCTTCCGGTGCCATTCACCGATGACGAACATGACCAAGCTCAAGGAACACCTCCTGGGCTGCAATTTACCCGTACCAAAAAAAAACAGCTGTGGCGGTGGAGGCAGCAGCGATGCATAGAGAGCAATGGATGATTGGGGATAGAGTTGAAGCAGCTGCCGAATGATTGGTCAGTTCTTGTAGTTGGTGTCTTCTCGCGAAGAAAATTGCAGAGTGTGTGATGTCAACGGAGCACGCGTGACGGCACTGATGTACGTGGACACGACGCCCGCCTTCAGCCACGTGGATGAGGTCGATGTCGACGGCATATTCATTCTGATCATGATCATGTTCACTCGTTGGTTTTGGTTGGATTTGCTATGACACCTACTCTTGCGTCTGCATAGCTCGAAGGGTGGCGTGTGTCATGCGGTGCAGAAAACAAATGTTTTGCAAGAACTTCAGAGAGCCAACAATGCTAGCGAGATGTGCAGCTGCAATGCCTACTACATCGTGTTCGAATGTGTGCATTGCAGCGGCGAAAGCGTCTGCATAAAGATCGCCGCGGCGCATGTCACCATCCGTTCTTGGAAACGGGTAAGGTTCATTCTGTCAAGGCCGGTGCAGAAGGAAAAAGTAGAGCACTCACTGCTATTGGCGGTAAAAGAGATCAGACACTCGTCGGGAGTACTACGGCTTATCGCCAAGTTCAATTGGTACCCTCGCACACCTCCGACACTTGGGGTGAGAGTTGGAATGTCGGACGCGGTCACGCTGCGATTTTCTCACGCATTGTTGTCGTTGCCTTGACATAAAAAAAATCGTTCGGTCTCTACTCAGTACCTTCTCACATCCCTGCCGTATGGTGAACTGACTCGGGCGCGTTCCGCCGTCGAAGGTCAACTAGTATTCCAAAAATGAACACGATTTCTAGAAAAATAATTGTACTTGATAGAAAAAATAAAAATAGGGCGCAGAAATCCTCAACAAATCTCCACACCAGATCACAAAAGACAGACCGGTAGGGTAGGGGAATGTAACCCCGGAGGAAGGAAGAATCATCAGAAAAGAAATATTTGGGGAGCACAGGAGGCCGGGACGCCCCATCCGGACAAAAGAAAGGGAGCCCATCGCTCCCGCTCGGCACGCGGTGCGAACGAGGAAAAACGACAACAGAAAAAACAATGTAGACCAATCAATCAGTGGTGGGCTAGAGACCAATCTCCACGACTCCCTCGCAGCTGGTCGTGAGTTCGATTCGTCCTCAGGAGGTTTTTCTATCCCGGGATAAGTTTCCAACAACCTGCCGTTGAAAACGACCTAGGTCGTGAGTATACAAACCTTGGCTTCACGGTCGACAAACCAAGGCATACACCGCAGGGGGAAAGGAGGGGCAAAAAAAATACTGAACATAATGAAAAATGCTCCGGTGGGAAGTGTGTGACCCCGGCTGATACGTCAGGTATGGTACAATATATACGCCGAATGGCCTGAATACCGGCGCCAGAATAGATGGAAGAAACACACGCGCACTCCAAAACGATATCGAGTGCAAGGTTGCAGCCTTCGTAGACGTGCGCAGTTTTCTTCTGTTGCTACATACCGTTTCTGTCTTTTGTCTTTGATCCCGAGAATGGGTTAGTCTCCCCCATGCCGCCCCCTCGCGGGGTCCCCGTTAATGGCATTTCGAAGTGTTCTTGGTTTTCACCCGCACTGAGACTGACGTCTTTTCATTGGTCAGCCGGTTAGCGCGGTCGATGCTAATAATAAAAACACACACAATCAAGGCAAAACTGAAAATAGAGTCACTAGGCCGGGGTGAAGTCGCCGCCAAGGTCGCAACTAGAACAGAATAAGCGTGGGAAATTCTTAACGTCACTCCACCCAAACAAGTCCCGAGAGAAACAATTCAGTTACTTAATTCGCCTACACACATGTCACAAATCAACTTCACGGGGGATCCAAGAGGGGAAGGAGGGAGCCGCTGCATCCTTTTTCACTACAGAGCTAAGCTCCTCACGACAAACATCAAACATGACGGAAGGAGGCACGGAACAATTACACTCGAAAGTTCCGGCTGACAAAATTCAAGGAAATCTCGAAGGGTGTATGTACATCTCGACGTCCAGAGCACATGGGTACCGACGCACACTGCAACACTATCCTGCTCACAGGAGCCGGCCTTCGTCATACTATAAACATGGAATCCGCTGCAGAATCGAGTGAATCCAACTGCATAGACGGCGTGCATAAACTACTTATATCGCCTGAAAGAGCACGAGGTAGGCATACATCAAGACGACACACACACACTCAGAAGAAACACATACATATTCATCTCGGCAATGAAGAGTTGGTCAACACAACCCCAAGCAGTCATATCTGGTACGTAACACGGACAGCGGTATCCTGCCATTGCCATATACTATTCCTGCCAACCCAAACCTACAGCGGCACGGCAAGTGTGCACTGATGACCCTAGGCGAAGCCCCGCCAAAACGTCGCGCGGCGCATAACATATCTGCTTTCCCCAGCGGCCGAGCGCAGTTTCCAACCAATTTGAAGGTTAAGGTTGAGGAAGCGATCCGATTTTTCGTTCGCCACTCCAAAATTGTGAGTTCCCATCCCTATCGCCCTGAATTTTGCGCGAGGACTGTTACCCTGATTAAGAAAACCACAAACTCCGCCCACACCAGGGGACAATGCTGTGTCCTGCAGGCCGAAACAGGCGTGAGACGTGATAGCGATCGGAGTGGAACGAACGAGCGTGTCTCATGCACCCGGTCCGCCGCAAGGCGAAAAACAACAACAAGAGGGAGAAAGACTACCAGCACTGCTTCGGGGGTACAGCAAGCCTGCTCGCTCATCCGGCAGTCACCGATATTTTATTCTCCGCCACCCGGTCCGTGGCAAGGAGGAAGACCTACCAAACGCTACCGGGATGACATTCGCCGTTGTCCCCAGCGTCCTCGTCCGAGAGACTGCTGTCGACGTCCCACGGTCGCCCCCCCCCCCCTCTCACCATGGAGCGGCCCTCGAAGGACGAGGAAACCCCTTCCGGTTCTCGCCGGCGCCTTTGCTGGCGGCGGTGACCGGGGAGCTCGTCCGCCGCTCGCGAGTGCCGCTTCGGCGGACCCACCAACTGCCATGAACCACCGCTGGGAGAGTAGCAGCCACCATCCGTCTCGTACGCGGAAGCCCCCGAGAAGCTAGACGAACGGGCCTGGCTACCAGAAGCGACGAGGGGGCGCCGTGGATGCGCCCGGGCCCTGCTCCGGGGTACGGGGCCCCAATAACCGCCGTCATGGTCGCTACTGCTGCCGCTAACGTGAGCGCCGCCACGGGATGCCCGCCAAGTCGCCGTCGTCCTCGCTACCCTGTCGACCGCCCTGACCGTCACCGATGCCTCCGGCTGGCTCCTCCTCCTGGGCCAACGGCCAGCAGAACCATCCGAGGCCGCCGCCGAGGCGCCGAAGGACGCTCCTCCGTCCATTTGCCGCCTCTCGAAGTCGGAGGGGCCCAGACCGGCGGCGGCGGCGGCGGCGGCGGCGGCGGCGGTGCTAGAAGAAGTGGTCGTCGTCGTCCTGGAGGAAGCCAGCCGCGCGCTCAGCTCGTAGACCTCGTGCGTGAGGTCCTCGTGCTCCCTCTCCAGGTGCGTCGACCTGTACCCCCCTCCCCCCCAGCCCGCCTCTTGCGTCGCCTGCGGCGGGGCGTACCTCCCGAGGGCACCGCCGGGACGCGTCCCCTGCGACGGGGGGTGCCTCCCGGGGGCCCCGCCGGGACGGATGCGCGCTCTCTCGAGCGGCGGGGGGGACTGGTACCCGTCCTCATCGTAACTGTTGCTGGAAAACCGGCGGGTAAACGGCGCTGGCCGCATGTAGTGGTGCACGGTAGAGCCATCGGATTCGTCGCTGTCGGTGTCCATGTCGGTGTCCACGTGGGGAGGAGGTTCTTGTTGGCGGCGGCGGTGGGTATCAGAGGCGCGTCGACGACGGGAACCCGTGTTTCTCGGGGGAGAGATGGGCTCGGAGTGGGAGTCGCTGTCGCCGGTGGAGTCCGCGGGGGATCGAGGGTCCCCTTCCCGCGTCTTTGCCGAGTTCTTGACGTGCGCCGATGCCTGCCCCTGGATGTAGCGGGGACGGAGGATAGAGGGTCGTCACCAAACGTACCACAAGAGGGTTCCCAAGGCACAGAAAAAATAATCAGTCACATATTTAGTGGATCCAGCACAGTATCGTCAGAGGTAAGGCACCACCGGCGTCAATACACACGAACTGCGGCTACTGCTCGCATGCGCGATGACAACAAATAAAATCCATCCCTCACAAGTGGGCGACCAGACTCAAGGGCGGCATACGGGAGACTCGGGTGGTTGTTGACACCCCACCATTCCCTGCTCACTGACAAGCGACACGCTACAGCTCAGCGCGACTGCCATAATTGAACAGAATGCAGCACGCATAATCACGACCGCGACACATCAGGTGAGGCGATTGCATTGCGATCACGTAGTTGTGCCTTCCAGAGACTCGTGCCCACTTGCAACAAAGATCGACTCAACACAGCACTACCGATTCGCAAGGATGACCCCAACATTCCCGCGGCGAAGTGGCTCCATCACACCACACCAACAGCCGCACCTGCAGAAAGCGGATCCTGGCGAAGAGAACCTCGCCGTGCTGCTTCCTCCTCGCAATTTCCTCTCTCAGACTCAGCGCCTCCTGCAGAGCGTCATACAAGCACTCCTCCCCGATGGCCACTTTCTCGCGAAGCGCGGCCGACTGAAGTTGCCAGCAGAGGTGGAGGAGGAGGACGAAGAAGAGGGTTCCATGGGCAAGGGCGTGAGCAGCATGGACCAATCAGAGACAGGTAAGGCAGCGGCTCGCTGCTGCACCAGCACACACGCTAGCCATTGTCACCTAGTCATCGTCACGTCAACAACACGTCAACAACCACCCTTAAGTACGTTTCGAGCCACCGAGGGCCAAAGAAGGAAGGGAAGGCAAATGAAATACCCAAAACCGTGTGGGAAAGGAACCGTCGGGCGTCCAACAGGTGCACAGCAGGATCGGTGCGGTTGTATCGAGCGACACTGCGGTACCCGTGTGTGTACCGCTGAAAACTGCACTGCAAGACTGCTCCCACCTCTTCCTTGACAGCTTGTGACTCTTTGAACGACGCTTGCACGACATCCCGCAGAGATTGCAGATCCACCTTGGTACGAACAGATACACCGGTCGAAAGGCGGTAGCAGCAGCATCAGCACGAAGAGATGCTCGAAAGTTTTGCACCCCCTACCCAGGAGATTTAGGGGAGCATCGTTGGAATTTCTCCAACGCGAACGGCCTTAGGTGTTTGAAGGTCGTACATGACAATCCACGCTTGTGTCACGTGCTGTGCTCTCAATCTTCCACCTCGCCTCTCGACCACCGAATGATCGCCACCCTCAACATTTTTAGCGACAAACGGATCTTGGCCGCGTGTGAAGCGAATAAGAAAGGCGTTCGCTCCCACCCTGGACTGTGAGGCGACGCGGTTTCCCCCCCGCTCTGTGGGATTTATGGCTCTGCGTTGTCAAGCCAACAAGCCACACGTGACTACCTGCAACCCTCGCCAACCTGCGTTATCCCGAGCCCATCCGTCCCTGCCTCCGCCTCCTTATCGCCCCGCTCCGCCGCCGCCGCCGGTCCCCTGTCGCCCCTGTTCCCGTACAACTCGGCGTGAATCTCGCTGACTATCTTGACGAGGTCTTCATCCATCTTGCTCTTCTTTTCGTCGAACTCTGCCTCCATCTTGACTCTCTGTCGGCCGAGTTCGGACTGCATCTCCCTGCACTGCTCCTCGGCGTTAACACGGAGTTCCTCCTTGTCGGCTTGGCTCTTTAGTGCTTGGTACCGCTTCCGTAGTGTCTGCGGGGGAGAGATGAAGGCGGGGGGGGGGGGTCGTGGGTCACACGCTCCTGTCTCAGGGGAAGGCGTTGCGCATATCGCTGCGAGATACAGTAACGGCTACGGTGTAAGCGGTTTAAGCGCAAGTACGGACTTACGAGAGGAAAATTGGCGTGTCCAGCCCATGAGAAACGCTTTCAATCTTACGATTTTAAGAGAAAAGCGGGATGTAAGCGAGAAATACCGGCTTGTCCCACGGCTGTGCGCCCCAATACCCTGCATGATGGTGTCATGTTCAGCTGCCAAATTGTTCCAAAGCCCATTCTCCAAACCAATTTGAAGATGTGCTCTCTATCGGCGTGTCGAATCTCGCAATGCCAGGCGGCTGTTCACACCCGCTTGCCACGAGAGGGCACCACTCCTGTGCCGTCCTGTCCAACGTCCAGAGTACAAACATGAAACCGACAGCTTCGGATCGCTGACCGCCATCGTGCACACAACGACGAAAAGTTACAGCACACAACCGCAGCGGGGGAACCGGCACGCACCCTGTACGCCGCCCACACTTCGTCCGCCCGACACGCGCAGGCGCAGTGGCTGCATGCCTCCGGGGCACCAAGGGCTGTGTCTGCGGGGCCCCTTCCTCTGTCCGACTGTTCATCGTCCCATGCCGACGCCGCCCTGGAATTCCGTCAGACAAAGCAGCAGTCAGGTGCGGTTTTCGGCCGGGGAAGAAGCGGAAAACCGCTAGCCGGAACCCTGGCACCACATGCTAGATAAAAGACCGACCGTCACGCGTGGTTCCGTGAGAAACAAGACGATCATCACTGCACACCCGCACGACAGCCCTCGTGGCAGTTCAACCCCATCCTTGCCGCGGTTGAACCAACACCAACCTCTTCCTGCTGTATCCTTCAAAAAGAGGTGTTTCCACCGATCACATTAGACCAAATAGCAATGGTGCCGAGAGGCTAAACTAGTACTGTACGGAACGGGGCGGTGCCAGCCGCGGAAAAAACGAGAGACATTATTTTTGTTGACAAGGATAAGTTGCACTGACGCTCGGGCCTCGTCCGCACCTGCAGCATCCCGGTCCGCCCTGACCCGCCGCCGCAGCCGCCGCCACCTCGCCCGCCTGCGACCCTCTCGCTTTTGCGGCCGCTTGCTCCTCTGATCTTGTGGGTGGCGGTGTACACGGGTTCGGATTGGTGGTCGGTTGTTGCTGTTGTTGTTGCTGCTGCTGCTGCTGCTGCTGCGGCGGCGGCGGCTGCTGCTGCGGCTGCGGCTGCTGCTGCTGCTGCTGCTTCTGCTGCGGCTGCTGCTGCTGCGGCGGTGGCGGCTGCTGCGGCTGCTGCTGCTGCTGCTGCTGCTGCAGCTGGCGCAGTCGCTGCTGGTGTCGCATTTGGTGTCGCCGGCTCATCGGTGTTGTCGGTGTTAACCCGGCGCGCGCTCCTAGAGTGACGTCATCCACCGAATGGTGGCCGTGCCCCACGGACATACCGGGAGCGGTGGCGATGACGGCGTTGTGAAGCCGGCTCGGCGGAAACCCTTCCACGGTTATCCGCTTCACCTGTGTGTGCCGGGGGTCAGCGACGTCCGACCCCCGTCATTTTCTTACAGAATACCATGGTACTAAATAGGTGCCAAAACACTCAACCCAGTGCCAAATAACGAACACGCACTTCAGCGCGCGTGCCGCGCACATTGTGCGAGTGAGAGTGTTACGCTTCGCGAATGGAAGCAAACAGAAACACAAGGATGTGGTCAGGCTGCTCAGAAGGACAACGCGGTGTCTGCAAGAGACACATGTGCACTACGCAACACCAGGACGATGTACAGCAGCAATCACCGCTAAAGCCCGGCGCCGCTCCTTCCCCCGATCGGAAACAACCGCAACGACGACAGCCTTGAATAGACTATTACTCATCAGGTGCTCGTAAGGAACAGGAACAGGAACATGTGGCCTGGCTAGACACCTCATCAAGGCCACCTCGAGCACGCGGACGACACGGAAGAAGCTGCAGTACCTCACTTGCCTTCGGTAAACGGAGCCCGATGAGCTTAATGCTTGCCTTGAGGGTCTTATTGGCGCGTCGCATCACGTCCGGTAGTTCTCTGATTACGACAAGACGGGCGGGTGAAAACCGGGTGTCTGTCTTCGTTCGGCAGTGGCAGTGTGCTATCGCAAGAGCATGAGCATGGACGCCACCACCCTGCAGTCTCTCTTGCTCTCTTGTCTTCGAACGCTGATTGGCTGGCGGGGAATAGTCTTGCTACACGGTGAGAAAAACGATGGCTACCAGAACGATCATGCTGCGGGCACAGCAGCGCCGCGGGATCCAACAAAACAGCGAGGCAAGAAATCTCGCCGAGCGGAGACTACAAGCAGCGAAAAAAATAGTGCTTCCCGTTCTTGCCCACGCGGTAAACGGCGATGATGGGATTACGCGACAATGAGATCGAATGAAAGTTGTGACGACCAATCACACAAATACGAGGAACGAGAGCAACGACAAAGGTACCACAAAAAAAGACACCAAAACCGCCCTAAACACACCCTGACGCACTCTCATCGGGGCGATCTCGGCGCCCATTGCAAAAAAAACAACGACGCCCAACATACACAAGAGAGGAGGAGCGCCCCACTGTGGCGACGATCGACCAACGGTGTTTCATGTCGGAAACATCACCCCTCACCAATTATTAAGGACGCGAGTTGTCCAAAATTGAGGCAGCTGTCCGCTGCGCCCAGCACACCCACAATTGTTCCACGAGCCCCTGGCTCACCTGCTTGCTGACGTCACAACGATCAGGTAGAGCCCCAACCTCCTACCCATCGAACAAAGCTACCTAGAAAAACTGGTAGAGGATGTGTTTGGGCATGTGCCACAGAAAAGAACCTTACCTGCGCAGGACTTCCTGATCGGTCTTGGCCATCACCTCCTTGAGCTCGTCCTCGGCGTGCCCGACTGCGCCCTTCTGCCCAGTCACCAGCTGTTCCGGACACATACGCAGATCACAAGTAAAAAATAGCGCACACCCGATCGAGACAGTGAGACACGAACAACAACAACAACAATAATGGCATAGGCGACCACGACCACGACTACGACTACGACGACGGCAAGGCTGGTCGGGAGAGTCGGCTACAAAAGCCTTGGATGAAATTTTCCGGCACTTCTGGCTGCAGCTTGCAGTGGTGTGTCGGGAGGATATTGCAGTGATGAACGGGAAGGCGATCCTCAATAGAACGAGCTTGTCAACAACAATGATGCCTTCCTATGAATAGCACCTTACGATGGACACCTGAGATGTTCTTGTTGTCTATATTAGGGAGGCAAGCGGAATTTAATAAGAAAAACCCGTGAAAGTCGTCCGCTTCCTCTGAACGTGCACCGATCAGTCCAAACGCTATAGATAGCAAATTTGCACGGAAACACTCCTTCCCAGTGCCAACCACGAACAAAAATAAACAAACACGAAAGAGCACAAAACAACGCCAAGCCCGCTGCGGTTATGGGTCCAAGACACTCAAGAAAACCGCGACCACCGGAGGTGCGCCCAACGAAGAATCGTAGAGCTACTGTAGCTCTCTAGTAGATGTGGTGTATCAGGTCATGCTACACAAGAGACTGCGCCAACTAGGAAAAACAGCTCTGTAAGTGTCCTGCAACAGTTGCGCCGACTGGGTTCACTTGCTGCCGTAACCCGCCACTGCCCCGCAACAAAGGTTCATGTCCTTGAAGGTGGCGAGAAGCTTGTCGCGTTATCTTCTGCTTGGAGACAGCCGGCAGACAGAAGCGGCCAAAAATGAAGGGGGGAAAGAGGCTATCGCAAACCTATTTTTACACACGTGTACTTCAAAAGAGAAAACCACGCCGAATCGATGAAGCAAGCCTGTCCAAAGTTGGAGGTATCTTGCTAGGAGTACGAAACGCTTCGAAGGAGCACACGCGTTGCCTCTTCGATAGGCACGAGGGGACGTTCGGTGAGCAAGCCAAGCCAACGCTTCAGCGAACCCCCTTCCAAACTTTTTACTCGCCTCTATGCGGGCGATTGTTGGCCCCTCCATGATTGACCTGTGGGCTTGAAGGTCCTGGATAGACTGCTGGTAAAGCTCCTCCAGTTTTTGTTTGAGGGACTCGTACTGGCGAGGGGCGGCGGCGGCGGCGGGGCGGGGGCGGGAGGCATTTTTCGCACAAAGGAGGTCAACGTTTCATCTTGGTGGTACGCACCGCGGCCGAAACCCACAGAACTAGTTCTAACGCTGGAGTGGACCGGACCGGCCGCGTGTAAGTATCGCACAAAAAAAAAAAAAAAGGCAGGAGACAGCACAGCAGCTGCGCATATTCGTACGGTACTATACGAAAAAACTTGAAAGAGAGCAGCAGTGCGCTGACACTTCCCTTCCCAAACGGACTCCAAGCTGAACGCTTCAACTCATTCGGTGGTGGGCGACGTACCTCGCTGCGAACCTTCGACGTCGCCGATTTTATAGCGTCCCGCGACCCGGCGTCCACAAGCGACTTTACCATTAGGCTCATGGCTTCACCATGGCGCTCATTCACGTGGCCCAGCCTACCCAGGATGACGGAGGCCTCACACATGTCGTCCTCCATCTTCTGCTTCAGGCTGACGTGTGTGAGGGAAAGAAGGGGCGGGAACGGATGGTGAATGGCTCATCCGGCAAATATGGAACATCTCACGGAACGACAATTTGCCGGAACAAAAAAAAGAAGGAAACCCAGCTAGGCAGATTCCAGAGTAACGGTGCGCTGTTGTGGTCTTCAACAAAACAATAAAGCCGTTTCTGGTCTCTGCTCAGTGCCTCCTAACACCATTAGCGGCCTAACTGAGGCGAACGCCTTCAATGTCACAGGCCAACCACACCAACTACACTACCCACAAAAGGGCAGAATAGTATCTACATAGATGCTAAACAACACAACACAATCAAGAATAATCTACACCGTCCTTAAGCCACTGCTAAACTAGGCCGGGGGTGTATTTCCCGCCCGAGCTGCATCGGTGAAGCCAATCCCCTCTCACATGCCAATGCACGAAACGGAAGCACGTGTGGGGGTGCTCAGGATCAAGACAGCCGTGGTGCGCCTGCATGCTCCATTCCAACAACAAAGAGAGGCAAGCCTGACACGTGGTATCCCTCCCCCCCCCCCCCTTGCTACAATACATCGGGAATTATCCATGCTGCACTCTTCTCAAAGCCGTACACAGACACCTCAAGGGAGGCCACCATGCCAAAAATACAGTAACAGGCGGAGAAGCGGCACCGGGGTGCGCAACAAAATACATGCACGGCATATGATGTAATCTCATTTCCGCGCCGGGGTCGGTGAGATCGCACCCGTGAGATCGCACCGGGTGCGATCTCGCCGACCTCCAAATCCAAGATTGAGCTATTTTTGAGCTGCCGGAAAGAGGAATGCGTGCACCTTTTACATGTGGGGAGGATGTCAGCGGAGCGACACTCCTTTTTATGTACGATACTGATGTTCGGTCGCGGTTCACGCGGGATGTCAGTTGTTTTCATTTAACCGGCATGGAAGTTGCCAACCGTACACTCAACCAAGCACACAACATACAAGCCGTAACATACCCCACGCTACCGTGCACAACAAAATCGTACTATACTAGTATTCGTGTGAAGGAAGACCGAAACGAAAGCGGGAGACAACCTGTGATACCGTATGTACCGGTACCCCGCATTGAAACCACATCGTCTGTTGTCCTTGCCACGCCTTAAGCCAAACTAGCATTCAAACCCCATGACCACTCGCTTTATGGAAAGGACAGCCGCTACACGTACTAGTCTACGCATAGCCTACGCCTTGTCTTTGCCGGTGTGCTCCCCACCAGCAACAACGGCACCTACACGGCCCACGTCTGCTGTAGTTACACTGCTTTACGCCAACTGAGGTGGAGATAGGGCACCGGTCAGGGAGATGGTGCCGGAATGCGTGCCTACAACACCGCCGAGCACTACTGCACCTCCGTGTACTCCATTGGGCATTGCACCGGTCGGAGAGATCGCGCCGGGGTGCCTTGAAAAAAGCAAAACGAAATGATGTAAATACTGTTCCCGAGACGGGGTCGGAGAGATCGCACCGGGGTGCGAAAAAAAACAGAAAAGCATGTGTTTAAATTATCGCACCCGGTGCCATCTCTCTGCCTTACAGGCGCTTGAAATTGGAACCCTGGTGTATGTCGCATCCCACGGTGACAGGTCTTGCACGACAACACATCCAGTATAACAGTATAACCCTGGCCCTTTCAGATATTTACATTTTTCAATCCCTCCGGCAAAAGCGGTAATTGTAAGACCGTTTCGGCATTTTTTTTGGGGTCAAACAAAACCCTCGAACCAAAAGAGGGTCGGCTTTTTTTTTCCCCTCAATATGACCCAACGAATCCATCTTCATCTTTGTAGCAATGAGTCAAAGATTACAGTAGATTGGCAATTAATCCATGAATCCATGGCGTCAGCGACTGTTTGAATATTTTAAAATATGTTAGCCGGCAACGTTTTTTTGTCTGAGACGGGCCCACTTTCCGCCCACGGCTCAGACAAACACCTCTCACCAACCTCACCTTATCTGAAGCGTGGGTTCCTATTCAGTTGTTCCAGAGTTTTGAGCAGCAACAGAGTAGTAAACTACAAAAAGATGGCATCGCAGGGTACAGAGTCGTTCGAGCCTTATGTCAACACCACTGGACAGACCTGCTCCTCCTGTGCGGTGTCTGTCCACAGGTATGTATGCATGTTGTGATCGCTGTGGAAGGAACCGACAAGGAAATGTGGGATGAGACAAGCCGTCAAAATAGAGCAGTAGAACTCCCAGACCATGAGCTGTAGGCCACTCGAACTGCTGGGAGGTGGCCCAAAAGGGACCGCCTATGCAGGATTTCAAGAGTATCTAGAAAAAGATTTAAGGGAGGGGGCACGCAAACCCTATCCCTAACCCTAACATCAACCCCAAAGCACGGATTGAATACTTTATCCCATATGTTTGCTTAATCGATTTTGCTGCGTAGACTTAGGGCTAGGGTTGGGGTTTAGAATGCCGCAAAAAAAATCGCTGTGTGAGGGTGATTTCTGGGTGGAAAGCTGCTGCTGCTGCTGCTGCTGCTGCTGCTGCTACATGCTGCTGAAACGCCTCCTCTCTCTTTCGCTTGATTCGGCCAACCAGGGGGGGGAAGTTGCCACGTCATAAATAACAAAAACATTAAGCAAACATAATATTGTTCCTATTTTCGGATCTTTTGATGCCAATATTGTGCCTGGGCAATTTTGTCTAAGAGCAAAACGAAGCATTTTTCCGAAACTACCCAATATTCGCTTGCGAAATCGGAAGAGCTCGCACTGGAAAATTCGAAAATTCCTCGATCTGCCTCCACTCCGGTGTCAACAATATGCACAGTAAACCCTACGCCAGTAGTAGTGCACCCTACCCGAAAAGCAAGCAAGACTTTTTGTTTCATCGTTCTTGTTTTGTTTTCTTAATGTGACACAACGATTACGATTCCATCAAATTCCATCTCTATCCATAGAAAAGAGTCTACAATAGTTCTTCGAAATTGCAAACGAGATCTTCTGGCTCTAGCATTTTTGTACCCAGTCTTGGCATTATTTTGGGATTAGCAACTGGCACGAATTAAATGTGAAGACAACAGCAACAATAACAACAACTACTGCTGTACTTCCTACGACGGGACAGGGAAAGAGAGTTAACGAAACAAGAAGAGGCTCTCCGGTAGGAAGATGAGCCCCTTGGCCCTGGAGACAGGGCGTTGACGATAATCGTTTTGGATTCCGGAATGTACTGCACACACAAACCCATCCGTTGACAACAGGTCTACCTGCATGCAGGGTGTTGGATTGTTGTTGTTGTTGTTGTTGTTGTTGTTGTTGTTGTTGTTGTTGTCTTCACATTAAAAACCGTTCCGATCTCTCTCTACCCAGTACCTTCACATGTCCGTACTGATCCAACACTTGACGCGGTCGATTCCCGTGGTCACAGGCTAACTTACCCTAAAAAGGTACACTCAAATAAACTGGCACCGGGGGGTCCCCAAGTCAATAGAAATCAACGACAGATATTCTGGAGTCCTCCGCTCCCTCTGCGCGCTATGCGAGGTAACAACTTAGACTAGGAGTCAGCCTCACGGGCCAGAGAGAAAGAGGTACACCCCCTTGGTTCAATATTGGTGCTTCACACGCAAGCGGAGACAAGGCCATCTGACACAGAAATAGAGAGAAAAAAGAGCGACAAAGAGAAAAAAGAGAAAAAGAGAAAAAGAGAAAAGGAAATCAGGAAGAAAAGAGAAAATAAAACGAAAAAGAGCGAGGACAAAAAGAGACCAGGCCGAAAATAAGAAGAATATCAGACAGAATAAGGCACACGGTGGAGAGACCACTAACGAACGAACAAGCAATCACGCAAACATGGCCACCAACCAGCGATACATGTGGGGGTTGGTGAAATGGTGCAGAGGAATGGTTGCAATCTGCGCTGGATGTACAGCAGTACAGTAGCGGCTACGGTTTAAGAGAGGGTCGTGCCAAGCATGCATTTCTCTCTTAAATCGGTCATTCTCTAATACCGTTTTAGCTGCGGTATAACAGAATATTCTCTTAAAACATATCTCGATTTAAGAGAATATTCTGTTATACCGTAGCTAAATCTGTAAGATCGTGGAACATGGACACCCTCGTGCCAACTACTGTCTTAAGAGTTCATGGAGAGCGTATTATTGATGTCACATACATAACCCAGCTAGGGTCAGCACCTTAGGCTAGTTCCACGTTCCACACACCGCTTTATCTGTTGGTCGGCGAGCAACATGGACCCACGTCACGGTGTACTCTCTTCGAACTCGGGAAATTAGTATGTCACGGTGTCGTGCGACACATTTAGTGCGTGTGGATAAACAGTAATTGTTACAGGTGTGCTGCATTCCTCTTCTAGAACTACAACCAGAGCCCACGGATGCACCAGCATCCAAGAATAAATCCGTCCACCCACCCACTGAATCACCCACTGAATGATCCACCCATCCCCTGCACGCAACAAAACCCAACACTCACAACTGTTAAAAAAAGTCTCGAATACACAGATGCCATGTATGTACTGCCCACAACCGGCTTTGCATGGGTGAATTGTGAAGTTCGGCGGCCCTGGCGTGTTGTCGGGCATAGCGCAGCGATCGCCCGCTGCGCAGGGCATGGTGTCTGCAGCCGTGTGTGTGTTGAGAGCTGTGTGATGTGTGAGATGGCTGCGTGACGTGGCCTCCAGAAGCTCGATTTGAGAGAAAAACTCCGAAATAAGCCAAATTCTATCTTAAATCGATTTTGGTCGTGCCAAGTGAGTTTTCTCTCTTAAACCCGTACTTTTACTTAAACATTTTACACTAAACCGTAGCCGCTACTGTACCATACAAGTACGACCCCGGAGACAGTGCTTCGGTATTGGTAACCTATGGTTCCTGCACTTGTAAAGTACAGCAACGCCATCGCAAGCCTGCTCAGTGATGCAGTGTCGGAGATTTGTCTGTGGAACTATGATTTTTGTCGCATGTTTTTCATTAATTCTTTTGAGACGGAAAGGGACGCTTCGGGGAAAGGTGGCGTCGCAGTTTGGCCCCCACGCAAAATGCCGCAAATTCGTACCTTGAAGGAACCAAGTTGTCTATGCGTACATGTGTCATGTGCATAGTATACTGAATGCAGTGCGGACACATGCCGGAACGTGCGGGGAAGCAACCCAACAACCGCACCGGTCGGACTTCGGCACATCGGCACGTTATGTAGCAGTCACAAAACGCCTGTAGTGTGGTATCTAGAATAAGAACAGCGTTCCACGGTCGTTTCAGATCCGTTTCCGATGTAGACAACGTGGGTACACAACAATAGGGCCACCGGGTTATGGCCCCGATCTGCAAGCTGGGGAGCTTCTGCTGCTGTGCACAACGTATATATGCCTACAATGTAGACGAGTTAGTCTACATGCTCAACGCGATCCCGGAGTATCATTTCTTTCGTGTTCCAACGGCATATCACACCTTCGAACCAAACAGCAGGCATCCGAAGTCCAGTCCATATTTCACCCAACGACAGACCGAAGTTTTTAAATTCCACGGCCCTATGCATTCAAACTATAAACCCATTTTGCACCGCCGCATTGGCCGTGTTACAACCTACCTGCGTGATGAGTCCTACCTATGGGTGAACTTGCCTTCTCTCTTGCTCATGGATGGTGTGTCTCGGGGTGCGATAGTAGCAGAGGCAGACAGCAAAGGCGGTGGTTCTTTTTCAACGCGTCCGAAAGAAGCGTCGCCCCGCCGCAGCTCTTCTCCGCGTACTGGTACCCCTGTACTCCTCTACCCGCAGGTTCAGACGCACCCCGCCGAGCTCACGTAGGCCGCACTCACGCCCACCACCACGAAGGACGAACGCACGCTGCCGGGGACCGATGTCTACAGCAATTCTACGCTCTGTCTCTTGTGTCTGTTAAATGAATGGAATGTGCGTTCAAACGCAGCGGGGAAGAGGGGCACGCGCAACCGAGAATGGGTGGAGCGTGGGGGGTGATTCATCGAAACCCCCTCAAACACCAAGCCGAGCTGGACACAGACAGGAACAACAGCCACATGGAAGCCGGAGCACAGACAGAGAGGGGCACGGCTGGAGGCTTTTGCACTAACAAGGGCAGGGGAAATGATGACGGCCGCCTTCGGCGATGAATCGGCTAGCTCCATGAGCCTTCTTCCGCCAATTGAGGTACGTCCTGCTCTGGGTACCGTGCTGTACACGTCAACTTCAATTTCGTCCGCCGACCTCCATCGTTCGCGATGATGAGTAGGGTTCGTCATCCAGACTACCTCCCGTACTTACCGTGCCTCACCCAAGCGCCCATCACCCTGTCTGAGCATCATGCATAAGCTCTCTCATTTGAGGAGTATTATTTCTGCTAGAAGTACCGCGGGTGTCGGGTGTACAACTGCACTACACTGCTGTGTAGTTTAGGTCTGTGTTTTCTGCTTCACGTACTGCAGCGCAGTGCTGTGCCGTTGTGTGCGAAGACTATTACACAAGCAACGGCGGTGCCGTGAACGCGCGAAGTTCTGGTGGCACAGGCTACACTTGTTCCTGAGTCGTATGATGTGTCGCCGGTGCTCTCAGTACATTTTTTACGCCTGCATGTGTGGACGCAGTGGATAGGCCGCCATCCCACAATCCCTATATTCGCACTTCGGACCTCCAACAGATGCAAGCACGGGCGGTGTGTAGTACGATGGTAGCAATATGCGTATGTACCAGCTGGGGGAGGAGGCGCCCATATATGACTCATTTTGAAGCTGGCCAATGGAACGAGGGGGGCATGTCGCGCTCAACTCAAGAGTCGCACTCTACTACTGCTGTACACTTTTTTTTCGGGTCCCGTTATTTGGTTAGGTTTCAATTTAGAAATACGAACATAGAGGCAGTTGCCAAATTCTCATTTCGACTCTGCTGCACATGTATGGATGTGAAGCAACAGGAGGCCAACCACCACGCGCAAAACTCGAAAGACTAGTTATCATCGTACAAGTTTATCCCGCTGTGTGCGAGAAGTTCGTTTTTGCGACCTAGTTCTTCCATAGTATGCATACACCGCTGCGAAAAGACGACAATTACGCTGCCCTCCCCCTTTTTCTAGTCGACCGTGGTCGTCGCGGTTCTTTACAAAGCTGTGAGGTTATGTTTACTTTCAACAAATGCTGCCAGCCACGGGAAGGCATGCTAGTTCTACGGAGATTTTATTTCAATCGTCGTGTGTGCCTCTTTACTTATTTTCTGACCGTGTGCGGGCTGGCCGCTACGTTATTATACATGTTACAGGGCTCTGGCGGCGATACCGGGGAGGATGTAGATGGAAACCCACGAGAGGCGGCGCGACTACTGGAGGAGGAAAACCCCCATCATCAGGTGCGATGGAACTGTGCTTCTCTTTTTTATCTGCCGTGTGGACGCAAAGGATTATAGTATGGTACATGTTTTTTTTCTTGTGAGGTTTGCGCTTATTTCTTTTCTGCCGCTGAGTGGCGTTCCTTGACGGAGAGAAAGGGAAGGAGCAGCAGGAAATGTTTTTGAAGAAGGTCACACGATATCTTCCGCAACATGATCGGACGGCTCAGAGCTCCAGCCTCCTTTCTCAGAATCGCTTGCTACTACCTCTTGGAAGGTGATCTTGTGTCCATCCTCAAACACCCCTCATTCCTCTTGCTGTCCTATCCACACCCCCCCGCCGGCCCAGCCGTCCTACAACGGCCAACGCCACGAGCAGCAAGACGTGCCAGGCAGGCAACTCATGGAAGACAGGTGGCCCAGCGGACAATACTCCTCCTTGACAACGGTACCACCAGGTGGTGCTAGTGGTGGCAGCCCCAACGTAGCTTGGCAAGATCCAAACACTACCACAAGTGCTGGCGAAGGAGACAGCGACGGCATGGTTACTCCCGGACAGGGCCAGGCCGGACTAGCCCCGCTTGACGAGCAACCTCCCCCGGATCCGTTTGCGATGGAGAGGCCGCCGATCGCCAACGGCGGGCGGGGGGGGGGGGGCGCCGTGGGAGGTGAAATTCGCGCGAAGCCCCCAGTCGCACCACGGCCGGCAAGGTATAGCAGTGGCGTGGCTGTTGGTCTGGTAGTGCAAGATGTAAGATTAGCGTTGCCGGACTCCTGGTGGTCTGGCTGGATGGATGATCGTCAAGCGTTGAAATGAAGCTTTTTTAACTGTACGCGTTTTAGGGCCGACGTCCAAAATAACATGAAAGGGTGGCGTCCGACGATTTTATGACTTCTCCGGGGTTGACCTCTTCGCTTGTACCGGCCGAAGCTGGTGGGCCTGGAGTCAGAACCGGCTTGTGTTGACATCGAAAAACTGGGCACGTGAGGCATAGCGCCGCCGCTCATCTGCTTGCGACCCAGCAGTGCCAGCCACTGCTGTACCACACCAGTAACACATGCGCTGGCGGGGTACTAACACCAACACGCTCCAACACGCCGTCGTGCCTTGGCCTCCAATGCAGCGCGTACCCAAAGCCCCGTCAAGACTTGGCCGCATTCGTTGCAAAGAAGGGGTTGTTGTTGTTGTTGTTGTTGTCTTCACATTAAAAACCGTTCCGATCTCTCTCTACCCAGTACCTTCGTATGTCCGTACTGATCCAACACTCGACGCGGTCGATTCCCGTGGTCACAGGTTAACTTACCCTAAAAAGGTACACTCAAATATACTGGCCCCGAGGGGTCCGCAAGTCAATAGAAATCAACGACAGATATTCTGGGATCCTCCACTCCCTCTTCGCGCTATGCGAGGTATCAACTGAGACTAGCAGTCACTATCTATCATGGGCCGGAGAGAAAGAGGTACACCCCCTTGGTTCAATCTTGGTACTTCACAACGCAAGCAGAGACAAGACCATCTGGCACAGAAAAAGAGAGAGAAAAAGAGAGAAAAAAAAAAAGAAAAAAGAGAAAAAAAAAGGGTATGACGGAACCGATCGTTGCGAAAGGTGGGTTCTACAGGCTTATGACCCCCGCCCCCGTATGTATTCTTCATGTTAATCTTCCGCTGTTCGCGCAGGAGGGAATGGAACCTGACCACGACCAAGCCGTCTCCGAAGCTCTCGTCCACCGCGGTTGGCGCTACCGGCGCCGCGAACGGCCACATTTCCAGCGATGGCAAGGGCGTCGGTGTGGCGGGAGTAGGAGGTGGGAGCGTGGCAGGCGGTGGGGGTGTGGGCCTGAAGCCCCCCAAGTGGTTGCCCGACGAGGACACTTCGTCGTGCTCGGGATGCGGGCGAGATTTTGATTGGGCGAGACGAAGGGTGAGGGTATGCCCGTTGTGCGGGGAGAGGGGGGAGGGTCACGTCCACAGAGGAAAAGCTCCCAACACTGGTGTTCCACGCGTGGTTCGGGGCAATGGATTATTTGGATGTATTCACCTGCTACATCTGCGCCTGTGCGTAGCGGATATGTTATTCTCTGCTGGCAGCGCCGTAATTTTGTCAACTAGTCCGATAGAGATGCAGAGACGTCTTTGGCGGGTTTGTCGTGTTTGTTCGGTATGTTGAGCGTGGTCATAACTGCTGCCCCCTTGTAGGTCGTGGGTCTGTTTCAGGCCGTCGTTTCCCCGCTCCCACCCCCCGCTCCCACCCCCCACCCCCACGCCCCGCCGGACATGTCTTTCATTGCACAGATCCCCAACGTCGTGGCCTTGCCTCTTCCCACACCTTATTTTCGCAAATGGCGCCCCTTTTCCCGGCAACTCCTCCTTCGTTGTGCTGTACCACGGTGCTGTTATTGTGTGTCTGGCTCCTGTGGCATCGTCAGCACCACTGTCGCCTCTGCGGAGGCATCTTCTGCTATGCGTGCAGCCAGTTCCGCGCGTTGTTGCCGCGATCGTTCGGGTCCCGAGACCCTCAGCGCCTTTGCCAGCCCTGCAACGCTAGGGTTGCGCCGCTGCAGGAGATGCTGGCCGGTGGGTGCTCTTGATGTAAACTTTTGCGCGCTAGTGGCGGTGTGAGCAAGGAAGAATTGGGTTCGGAGCGGCGTGTGTGGTCGCATGATTCGCTACCACACTTGTGTTTATCGTTGGTGAGGGGGGTCAAAGGGAACAGGTGGTGTGTAGCCTAGGATTACCTCTTTGGAAAGTTAAAGCTGTGAAACCTTTGCTGCAGCGTTTTGTAGAAAATGTTTTTTTTACGATCACAGAAAGACTACTCGCTTGACTATAACTTCGCACGCTGTGTTATGCGAAACTGCAAGTGTCGCGAAGATTCCACAAGCCCTTATGATGTTGTACATGGTAGATTAGTCAGGCTGCTAGATTGTGGGACCGAGTCGCTGTAGTGTGGGCAATGCGGTGAAGGGAGGCGACGTGTGTCAATGGCGGGAAAAGTGTGTCTAGAAGTCTAAGGTCATTAGCAGTATACCGTTTGGTTCGGCAGACGGGTTGTACGGTTGTACCCGTCTTCGCCCATGGCTGAATCGTGCCACCACAATCCACAATTAGCGAAATCCCTAGACGGCATCGAAATCTCCTGCGGATTCATGCACGAGTTGCTGCATGCATGCTTACACGAAACACTTGGAATATGCCCCCACTGCTGCTGGTCGCACCCCTGCCTGCCGAGCAGAGAGCGTTAGCAACGCCGTCAAGGAGAACGATGTGGAGCGGGGAACCGTGGCCTCTTACCTCAACCGCCCGATCGTCTTCACGCTGGGAGCCGAGGTTCGGAAGGCCGCGTACACCATCCACAACTTCTCCAAAGAGTGAGTGAAGTGAAAAGCGGACGCGGAGTGCAGCCTATGCCAGGGTGTTCTATCGCGTCTGGTCTTGGTCGGTGGCGATGTCGGTGGCTGGGTCGCCCTTGGAAGTCGCTGTCTGTTTTGTTGTGCTCTTTGGTTGGAGGCACGGTGTCTCTGCCGTCGCAGCTATCCTGTTCTGTTTCACCATGTGTTCGTCGTGGTTGCCGTTGCTATCGCTGTTGCTCTTGGTGTTGTTGCTGCTGCTGCTGCTGCTGCTGCTGCTGCTGCTCCTGCTGCTGCTGCTGCTGCTGCTGCTGCTGTCATCGTCGCGGTGTTGAAAGTACTGCTGTTGTTGTAGCTGCTGGCGTTGATTTCCGCGTGGCATGTACTACTACGCTGGGGCTCCTCCCAAGCGCTTGGCGTTTGGGTGGTAGATGGTGATGTCGACGCCATCGTTATCCTCTTCGCGCGTGCCCTCGGCACTACACACGCTCGTCTTCATCCTGAAACGATTTCCCTGTCGTCTGTCGACGTTGATTTGCTTCGGCCCTCTCGATCGCGTCGCGAAAAGGGGCATGATTCAAGACCAGTCCATACCGCAGGAACTTCTTAGCCGCGCCAAAGGACTCGCGTTCCTGACGGTTATCAAAGGGTGAGTCAGGATCGATGCTCAAGAGAACACACCCCAGTGATAACTTCTGAAACAAGTGTCAACGGAGGTGGTATTGGGTTGCGGCGTGTGATGTCTTTTGCCGTCCTAGTGCTTGATCCGAGGGTAGTTTACTGTTTTGGGCTTATGTTGACACGTCCATGATATTGAGATTGAGGTCAATACGACCGTTTGACGCAACCACGAAACGTCACCACCACGACCTCCAACAACATGCAATAGCAATAGTCATTCCTCGTCTCTTTTGTTCTTCTGCATGCATGATGTCAACCGCAAATCGATTGCAGGGGGTTTATCGTTGCCGGCCGTGTGGGCACTGGCCTGGTCATCTCCAAGACGGACGAGGGAGTGTGGTCCGCGCCCTCCGCCATAGCGACGCTGGGCATGGGCTGGGGCGCGCTCATCGGGGGCGAGATCACCGACTTCGTGCTGGTGCTCAACACGGATGCAGCCCTGGAGGCCTTCTCAGGTGCGTAAGCCGGGGCTGGGAGTCGTGAACACGTTCTATAATAGTCCTTTCCATGAACAGCTTGATCACACATGATGGATTGTTTCCATTACCGTCGCAGTATCCACGAAAATATTGCGCACAGCCTTTGTCCCTTCCGTCTCACCAAAACATGGGAGTTGTTGATACACGCGTTGCTGACGCGCATCCTATCCTCGCCTGCCTTGCATCGCATCGTGTTTGCAGGAAGAGGTCAGGTGTCCATCGGCGCAGAGCTTAGCGTGGCGGTCGGTCCCGTGGGGCGCACAGGGGCTGGCAATGTCAGCGTCGCGGCGGAGGGCGTCGCTCACGCTTATTCTTGTGAGTCAGTCACTCAGCGTTACAAGACATCCTCGGCCTCGTTTGCCTCTCATGCGGTACAAGACGGTCTCGATGCTAAGGAGTGTGGCAGAGGAGCCTCGTGGGCATCAAAACCGAACTCTCAAGAAGAAGCTAGGGAGGAATTATTTAATCATTTTGGAACGGGTGTTTGTGTGCGAAGTATTGTTGGTCGATGGCATACCGCATACCTACCTGTGCGGGGCTAGAAATCGGACATTCAGTTCTCCTCTTGTATCCTTGTAGTACATATTCCCATTTTTTTTTTTTTTGTCCCACAGTTGCCTTACCACAAACGAAGGTCACCATGAAAAGGATACGACTGCGTGATGCGGTATGTGTGTGCCGTGAGATACCGCAGGTTGAATTGATACTAATGCGAGCGACATTCCCCTCACACCGTTTCAGTAGTGAACCCTGCTCGCTCTGCTCTGACCTCGCGGCGCTATTCCGATTGCCCTGTTTGTCGGGGCCCCAACACGACGGCTGGTGCTCTACGGTACCGCAGACAGTCACAGCAGAGGCCTGTTTGCAGGTCTGAGCCTGGAGGGGGGAGTGATCGTGTCCAGACCGGACGTGAACAGAAAATTTTATGGCCGACAAGTTTCCGTGAGGTGAGAAAGGCGGGGTAACAAGATTTTGTGTGAGGAAGAGCCCAATGGTGGCCGACAACGTCATACCAGTTTTCGGCAAGCTCTCGCCGTAGCGTCGTTTTTCGCTTCCACCACTGACAGCCCCGTCCTCGATGCAACGCCTGCACATGTCTTGTCCACGTGCATCATCAGCCAGGTAAATCGATCGTATCACCGAATACAGGGAAACATGGGTACCTAGACAGCCCAGCTTCCCTCCCCAAAATGATCATGTATCGAGTTCTTCGTCGGCACTGTACGATACTGCCACCAGCTTGCTCTTGTTATTGCTGTTGTTGTACAGCTGTTCTAACGGTTGCTGTTCCTACCGATTTTTTTTTGGTTCTGCGGTCCAGGGACCTCCTTTCTGGAAGCGTAGCGCCTCCACCAGCGGCCCGGCCTCTATACGAAGCTCTAGATAACAGGGGGCCAGGCGCCGACCAACAGCGGCTCCTTTCGCAAGGATTTCGGGTAGGCTAGAAATACGAGGGGGGGATCAACGGCAGGGCGTAAGCTGGTCCCTAAGGATTCGGGTGGGCTACATGCACGGGAGAAAACGTTTCCATGTCAGAGGGCGGGTTCGGTCAAATGAATCGTAGCGGTTCCGGTGCAAATCGGACGGGTTACCGTTACCTGGGCTTCTTCGGTGTTGAGCTTGTGGCCTTTGCGTAGATCGGAAAGGAATTCCAACCATCTGCGAAGAAAGTTGCTCAACAGTCACGCCCGCGTGAGATGTGGCGCATTTATTTCGAACTTTTTTTACTGCCGGATGATGAAAGACTCGCCAGGCACTATACTGTTGAATATTTCTCGGCATGTTTCAGTCGATGCACACGGATGTGCTGCACGCGTGGTGTTGGTGTACCGTACGATATCTCCGTAGATGTGATTTTATTACATGCGGTTGTGGAAGAAAGTGAGGGAGAAGCGTACATGTTCCATCAGAATGTTCCATCAGAAATGATGCGTTGGCGGTGTTATTCTTGGTTGTGTTGCAAGTGTTCCTTGTGTTTATGTTTTGCATATCGTTTGGTGGAGTGGGCAGGCCCCGCCCGGCGGCCAGGATGGCCCAATCGCGGCGTGGGAGCTGTCGTTGTCGGTGTATGGACTGTGGTGCTGCATGCCGTGAGAGGTACCTTGCACACAGCAGTAGTGCACGAGGCACGTAGTACATGGAGTCTCTTGTGCGAAGTTTGCCGAGATTCGGGAGCAACTCCTTCTAAAATTCAGGGACCAGACTCATGTATGACGTGACTCTCCAGCTAGAGGGCCCTGGGAGCGGGAATACACCGATGAACGTATGCGACAGAGCCACGGAGACCAGTTGTGGATGGAGTCGAAGCGTTTCGACCAAAGCCACGACAAAAGACGGCGGCGTTGGAATACCCTCGCCACGCAACGGTTGTTAGTTCGGGGCAAGTTGCTACGGCACGCGGAAGGCGGGCGCGGCGTGTGTTGAATATATTGTGTGCTGAGTGCGTCCTGTTCGCTTGGGAGTGAAGAAGACGAAGAGAAAGTAGACACTTCGCGCATGTAGGAAAACACACAAGCTTTCGCAAATCGCAATAATAGTGTGGGAAATGGTAATGGAGGGAGTGATGCAGCGACAGAAGGAGTCGTTTCGAGCTTTCAAGCCTCTGCCTTCCGTGGACCATGTATGTGCTGTAGACGGAGTATATTCTGTAGTCTAGAACTGATCGAACTGAAAAATCCGTCGTACGGTTTCAAGTAATAGGCACAGAACTGAAGATCCTTCTGCATGTTAAGGATATTTAGCAGATCGAGTCTTGGTACTTGGTTGTCTTCATGGACCTCCTGTAGATCCACCTCATATGCTTAGACTTCTTAGTCGACAGCAACGGTGAGCGGGGCTGTGCAGATTGAGTTGGCGTCCGGCATGCCTTTTAATGACCGATGCCAACAAACTTTTTTGATCGGTGAAGAACGTGCAAGAGGGCGTTCCCCCTGCGTAATGGAAGGCGCCACCACGGAACCTCGTGTATCCATGGTTGACCGAGAGGTTGGGTTCTGACTTCCTTTGTGGGATATGCAGTAATTCTATATCCCAACAACGACTATTTATTTTGCTTTGTTGAGCACACCTGTTTCATCCTACGTCAAGTCGATCTATCCCTTTGATATCTTCTTCTCCTTGGTTGCCTGAAGTTAATGCCACCCGTTGTGCGTTGTGTTTCGACATTTTTTTTCGTTGTTACTGCTGTATCTACACCGATCTTGGTGCTCGGTGCTACCGGTCGAGAATATGGACGGAAGCCACTTACGCTCACAAGCCGATATGACCGTTCCCCCTACCTTCTATGTTCGGGGACGATTTTTGACACATACTGCTACGAGACATCTCACAATGAACCCACCCTACGGAGCATGTGTCCAGGAGGATATATACAGAAAGCTTGTGTTGGGCAGCACTCGCAGCGTATTTCCTGCGTGGGGAAACCAACAGAGAGTTAAAGTCTACCCTACACTAGGTTCATATTATAATGCGTAGGGTTCAAGTTGCAGTAGTTTACAGTACAGTGAACAGCACCTCGAGTATTTGGTAAATACAGTACAGGCCATGAACTAGTGTAGCCATTGTGTAGCATTGCCGGCTGCATGCTGAGTTGTAGCAGCCCATCTCGATGGTACCGTGACAGCACTATACGCATGAACAGGATAGTCTTAAGGGATAGAGACTCCGGGGGAGAATTGTGGCGGGGGAACGAAAGAATAAGAAAAAAACAGGGGACGAAATCGGGACTTCCCCGCCTCTCAACGGATTGTATGGAAACCCTTTTGGATCTTGGATCTTTCGTTTGATCGACACTCGTTTGCAATCGTTTGAGGTGTGGGCTGTGTTGGCCCTTTTTGTGCGCGAGATAATCCGAGTAGTACTGGCGAGTGGATCAAGATTTGCCGTAACTGATTGACGAAATAAGGAACAGCTGGGCATGCAGCAGAAGAGATGCGCGACCAGGCGCATAGCGCTACCGCTCGCGATCCTGCTCGTCCTAACTGTTTTCTTGATCTGGCTAGAGTTCGCAGAGGGAGGGCGGAAGCAGCAGGCGATTTCAAGGTAAACGTGCCGTCGCGTGCTGATGTAGGCCCGTTGGGTCCACCCGTGACGCCAGATCGTCTTGAGTTTCGAGTCGAAGTGGTTCGTCGTAAAGCTTCGAGGGCCTTTGCCCACTGTATGCAGAATACATACTGCTGTAGATATAGTCTAGGCCAGTCGGGCACGGTTACGTCATTTTGAAGGTTGCAATCGAATAACAAAGTGCCCGAAGCACATTCGGCCAGACCACGAGGAAGGATGATCTTTTTCACGCCATTCTGGTGTTTGTGTGAAATACATGACGACTTCGCAACTGTACTGGCCCAACGTAAGGTACAAGGAAAGAAAGTGGTTGAGCTTCAAAAGGACGGAACACGGCAGGTTGAATCAGGTCCGGCGAACCCCTTTTTTTATTATGCTTGGTCGTCAGTCCGACGAAGATAGACAGAGTATAGTTCTAGGGTCATTGACACAGCAGTCAATGTTTCAAACGGCATTTCTCCACAACGACCATTCCCTTGCTACAACACCACCTTCTTGCCTCCCCAACACCGAGTACAACAAAATCATCGATATAGTCTAGAGGCTGTTGGGAAGGATTTACACGATACTGAGTACGCATGATATTCATATCGCCGTCCTTGTCGTTGTCGGCTGCGTATGTATATATGCAGGCGACGGACCAAGAAGTCCCGAGCAGGTGTAGGGAAGGACTTCTCAGAGTTCCTGCTGGTGATCGGAGCTATTATGACTTGTGTGATCGCGCCAGTCTTTTTTTTTTTCCTCCACTCCATTTACAAGGTACGTTCCTTACCAGCCGTCGACCTGTAGATCGCATGCCCTACACGGGCGACGCGGGTATCCCCTACAGTCGATCGAATCAGCATCGGATTGATGTCGACGGCCGGCCAGCGCACGTCCAAACAACGTTTCCCCAAATCGATACCGCACCGCTTCTTACATATATCATGTAGGGCAAAGTCTATCGATCGTTTAGAAATGAGAGTACTGAACAGCCTCAACAAGGCGCCACCACCAGCGACACAGTTGATGACGACCACAGGGCACAGGCCGAGTAGTTCGATCGGACTATTGTACGCAGCGCCCGGCGCGCATAACTTCCAGAAATAGTACCCAGCAGGTTGCGCATGAGGCATGCTACATAATCCTCTCTAACGTACCGCTACGATTTCGTGTGCGTCTTTCGGACCGAACTGCTTCCCCCACAAAGGATCCAGCGACTCCTGAGCTGGCGCGGGCATGCTGGAATGCCGTCAAGAGCAAGCTGCTATCCTACCTAGGACAGTCACCTGCGGTGCCCGGCTCCGTCGTTGGTACAAACAACACGTTAGCCTCTTTGTCAACCCCTACAGCAGCCCGACGTCGTACCCTCTACGCGAATGACAGCACCAACTACGTCGACATGCGCAGGGACGAAAACGGCAACAAGACCTCTGGAGCTTCCTCGGCTTCGCGCCGAGCCACAACAGCTAACACGCAACTGTACTCCGCTGGAGACGCCATCACCGAACGATCTTATCTTGCTGTACCTAGGCCGAGTAGCCGAGACCAATCCCGGCCCCGCCGATACCTTGATGATGACCAAAGGGAAGAACCACCGTACTACGGCTACGCCGCCGCCGACAGGCGCTACCGCCGAAAAGGTGAAGATTTGCAAAGGCACCCAGCACCAGGGTACACGGCACCCTACTCTTCAGGAGCAATTCTTCCCGAACAAAGCGGAGGGGGGCTCAAGCTGGAAGAGGACGGATTTTCGGCGGCAAGGGGGGCACAGCCTACAAGGTGGCGGGAATACGGCGGCAACGGCCGTGACCATACCCTTCCCGCAAAAGACGTCAGGTTTCTCGGTGAGAACGAAGCCCGCAGCTCCGAACCGCGCCGGAGAGTGGAGTGGGATCCATACCCAGATGATGATGACGATGATGTTGGCAAGGGGTTGCAGGGCAACCCAACGGTTGACGATCATATGGGTCGTGGCGTGTACAAAAGCACACAGAGCAAACGGACGGTGGCAAGAAGCAAGCGGGCGAGGGCCACGAGAATCTCATTGGCTGGAAAGACGAACGGTGGGAGACAGTCTTTGTGAATCAATTACCTGATGGCATGATGAAACCGCAACGTTACCCATGGAAGAGGGCGCTGGGAGAGGGAAAGGAGGGGGGGGGGGGGGGAGTCGTTTCGGCCAAGCCACACAGGCAAGGCGCTGTCTCGCTACCGTAAGGTAGGCACTCGGAGAATCGCGTCCGGACGTCGTGCTCTCTCGAGGCGATGTCGACACACAACGACAACACGGCCACGCCCAACGGCAACCACGACCGCAACAGAGATGTTCAATGTAGAAGGGTCGAGTCGGCTGTTCATTGGGGTAAGGTTGGAAAAGTGGTGCGGCGATGGACGGGGATGAAGCATATACGAAACGAGTCCGAAAGCGATGGGAAGAGACCAATATTGATCTTTTCTGTCGTTGGCATTGAAACCAAAGGTTGTTGGCTCAAGAAAATAGCGCTGGGAGCTACCCTGCACAAGTCCGAGAATCCAACAACAGCAAGCGACTGAGTGGGTGGGATGTCGGTCGAATCCAACAAGCGCGCAGCGGCTTGCGGCTCGGTGTAAGGGATTTCGGGGTACGCAAAGGGCTCATTGTACCAGGAAATGTTTGAGGCTTCACCCTCAGAAGCATATACTGTAGCTAGTACATTCACCCAGGCCGAAGTTTTACCCTCAGAAGCATCCACTTACATTCACCTAGGCAGTGTTCAATGGATTGCCCTGTCGTGCCAACCATTGATTGAACCTGAAAGAAAATTTGCGGTGGTTTTTCGAGAGAGTGTCTCCTCAAAAACCTTGGCGAGGAGTGGCCAGGCTGAAAGAAAAGAGGGGGGAGAGTCAACGTACGACCGAGACCAAACGTCACGGAATATCGGGCGATGATGTACCCATGGGACTAGCTTGCATGTTTCGGAGAGACGATTTCCTCGACCTGAGACAGAAAGTACTGTCTCGAAGCATCCTTGTCGAGAAGTGAGAAGCTGTGGGTGGACGGAATTCTTAGGGGTGGGCGACAGAGAGGGCAAGTGGTACCATCAAGAGAGTCGATTGGAAAGGATACACACACATCCATCTGTTCTTAACAATCGGCGCGGGACACCACAAAACTTGTCACGTTTCAAAGCCGTCGGTGGTGACTTTTCGAATCCAGGTGTACCACCTCCGTGATTTAGCACGCTCGTGCACACTTCAATCCCAAATCCGTGCATCCAACCTCACCGAACCGCAATGGTCGGTGGCCGAGGAGGTGTTTTAACCTATCCCCCTACACAGGCCGGTTGCGCTTGTTGCACCCCCCGTAGCCTCTCCTGGTCCTTGCGCTCCCAGCACCCCAATCAAGAGCGTTTGTGGTCCTTGCGACGTCCAACGCAGCCTTCTGCTAGATATGTTTAGTGCAGAACCTAAGACTGCATTTGGGCCGCACGGTGAGAGCACGAATTCGGCTGTTGCACGCTGTGGTTTTTGACGCTCACCAACCCGTGCATCCGATTGCTCTTTCACACGGTCACCGTCGTCATGGTTCGCGCTGGTCTATTCGACCGAGCCCTTCGGAACCATATTTCGCCGAAGCAAAGAGCACCGAGGGAGCCCAACCGCTGGCGAAACGCGATGATGAAGAACCAAGAATCAAACATGCAACGCTTCATTTGGAAGACGACACATTTGGGTTTCCAAGCGACACGCAGGGCGTGAAAAACAAACGTGTGATGTCTGGATGTTCTTATTAAACTTAAAAGAGAGTGTACCAGATAGTCTTTGTCCTACGAACAAAATATAAACGTCCCTCTACGCAGCGTTTTCTTCCTACAGCTGCAACTCCCTCTCTCCCCCCCCATCGATTGACCTGTCGATAACTCAATTCACGCGGACGGCCCATCTTGACCCAACATACACAAGATACGACGCCGAGAAAAAACAGTCAGGGTCAGCACCCGCACGACGGAAATTAGAAATTGCAACACCCAACGAACAGCGGGTACGTTAGATATTTCGCCCCGGCCGCTTTTCGGCAGTTCTCAGACTGTCAAGCCATGCCCGTGATGACACCCCTCCCGACCTCCCTTACCCCGCCTGTTGGTTATTTCATACTTCTCTGTTCTAGCTTCAAATAAGAATACGTAAATTGAACTGTACTATTGTATGCGTATGCGTATGTATCATTGGCGTGGCATGGTGGCGGGATTACGAAAGTGACGAAACAGAACAGCGCAAATATACTCAAAAAATGAACTAGTAACAATATCGAACAGACGCGGCAAACACACACTTGTACACAGCCGTGGTCCGCTAGACTGCCATGAAGTTGGCGAACAAGTCAACCTCTTCGCCGCCCTCGGACTAAATACTGGATTCGCACAAAAATGCCGAGCCACCTGTACAGGATCTGCTGACAATAACACTGCTGTCCCACGACAACGAACGCTTAAATAGATGCCACAAACTCCGCTATACGTAAACGAGTCGGAACCCTCTTTCTCCCTAACGCTAGAATTATTTCTGACGGTCCCTCCCTCGATACCCTCGGCAAGACCTCATTTATGCGGTGACATGAACATGTGTGCCCACAAGACAAGAGACAGACAACACGCCCCTAAGGTAGTACATAAACCACGCGCACGAGGTCAAGAGCAAAACGGAACAGCCGATTGAACATGAACGCTGCAGCCCCATTTTCCCTTTCCCTCGATTCTCCACGTTCACGCTTCAAGCGTGGCCATCGCTGCAATTTAAATCTTCCAAGCATGAATATATCATGAATAGCCCTGCCCTCCCCCCTCCCCCCTCCCGTTCAAACAAGCTCATCACCACGCCCAGCGCCGGGGCCATCCAAAGGTGGTCGCGGACACCCTCCCCCTCTGTGTCCCCAAAAATAATGAAACGCTAAACGTCTCAAAAGAAACTCTCGATATACATGAGAGCGGAGTCACACGGTGGCAAATAATTTCATTTCCCCCCCACCCCCCTCCAACCGACAGCACAAAGCTTTCGGACTTTCATCTACCACCACGCCCAGCTCAAGGGGTTCGGGATGAGGGGCCTATGGTGAGGCCCCGCCGCCCCTATTGTTTTGGACCTCCTCAAACGGCGAAAATCCTACGACACCCATCCCGGGACTGTCAGGATGCAACGGGGGCCTTGCATAAAGCACTCTATGGCACCTAACCACGGGTTGTGCACCTCTCCTCCTGCGCGCCCCCCTCAACCAGAAGCACCAGCACCCCCCCCGGCCTTGGCCGACAAGTCCAAGACCGGTGACACCAGTTCCCACATGGGTCTGCCCACGAACACTACCTCGTGCGTGTCCTTGTCGTTTACCCCCTCGTCCCTGACGGCCTCTTTGATAGCTGATGCGCACTCTCGAAGGGCGGGAGCGGGGCTCGAGTCGATGTCTTCCGGGTGGCACCTGCATCGTCAACGTTGCCATTGATGGACATTCAGTCGTGTCAGGCACACAGCAATACCCAGTAGTAATTAAACAAGCAGTGCTGTCCTGGTTATCGTCATGAGTTATCGATACCGGTTTCGTTGTCAATTGTTGGTGAAGGCGTGGAGTGGGTGGGAGTGCTACAGTACAGCTAAGGAAGGTGCGCGAGCTACGGATGGCGGGTGAACGAAGCCTGTGATCTACTTCTAGGCTTCTAGGTATTTCTGGCCCACGTAGTTGATACCTTGGCGTCAGGGAGCCAGTGCTACAGCAGATCAGCTCGACGTCGTGCACACCGTGTGTAGTGTACGTGTGGGAATACAAGAAGTGCCCACGTTAGAAAAGCGAGTGGTGGAGAACATCACGTGCGGCTCCCAGAACCACCGCTGGAGATCAGAAAAAACACGACAATTCGGCTTTTGAAGTGCGACGCTTTTTCAGCTTTTTTCTTTCGAGTACGAAGTATCCGGGGTGCCACCCCATTGCTTCGAGAGAGGGGAGTGATATTCGGCGAATAAGTTTGGCCAAATTAACCGGCACGCGCAACTTTCTTCCTTAGACCGGTGCTTGAATCACCACACCGCGCCGCACGACACTCGCCTGGTGAGGGTAACCTCGAATCGGACGACGAAGTCTCCGGCATCGTCGGCACCCTGGAAGAGGGAGTCAAGCACCACGTCCACCGAAGACCGTGCCCTCAGCCGCTTCACGGCAGGCACGAAGACTTCTTCCAGGCGGGCGGCGGCATCTTCCAGTTGCTGCGCGTTCATCCCGCAGGACGCGCCCCCCTGCGGAGGTGCCAAGGCGCGCCAAGTGAAACACGGGGGAGAAGGGAAGGCATGTCGAGCTTGAGGACGTCGTAAGAGGCAACTGCGCGGAAGAGGAAGTGGGCACGAGGTCTTGGGTGTGCTGAAACATCGTGAGATTGCCACGCTTTCGAAACAAGACTTCCACTCACTTGCCCGCCAGTTTTTTTATGATCATGGGGTTATGGTGTTGCGTTGATCGTTGCATGGCCACAGAGCGCAAGCGAAAGTGAAAAACAAAACGAAACAGCAGGACGTCAGGAATGGCGTCATCAAAAGAAAAAACCCATAGGATAAAGCTAAGCGTCAATAATGCGCCGGCGTCACTGCCGCGACACCCAGAATGACTTCCACGGTTCGTCAATCAAGACGGTTCGTCTATCAAGATGGTACGTTATTGCCCACCGGAACGTATCATATGCGGGAAGGTTAAGGGATCCATCAATGTACAGCATGGCAAAACATATTACAGAGATAACCGCCTGCGCACCTGGAGAACCCTGAACTCGCAGTTCGTCTCCTCCAGGAAATGTGACACCAGACCGGCGGCGAAGCCTCTGCTCATGTAAAACACACACCAAGGTACAGCCAGTAGGTGGGGCGACAGATAGGGGGCAGTCAGAGAAACAGCCAAACGAACACGAGCACAGGCGGATCGTCAGATCGTTGTCATCGTTCTTGCAGGCACGGTATGAACAGCACCACAGAATTAACCAAAAGGTGGCCCCGGCTCTCTTCTCTGCGATACGAACTGATGTGTACGTCTACACTTTGAAAAAAAGCTACTGCTGATAAAAATCGAGGATCAAGCGGTGTTGTTGAGAAGAGACAACAATATGAAAACTTCGCCGCACCAAAACCCGCACGCAGGCATCGAGGAGGAGCGCGCCTTTGCGCCATGACGACCGACCCAAGTTTCCTTGCCGTGTGACATCGACGCAATACATCGACCATCCGACACATATCTACAGTACACCCCAAGAAAAACCATTACTATTAAAAAAACACCCAGACACCAAGGGCCGCTACGTAGAGATATATATGTAGCGAAACTCAGCGATTTCCCACCTGGCCCACGGCGGATAGACTATATGTTATATTCAAAGGGTGCGCGTGTAGGGGGGGGGGGGGGGGGGGCCAACAAAAAAAAAAAAATGCCCCCCGCGAAAAAAAAAACCCAAACCCCCAAAATGGGGTTGACCCCCGGGGAGGGGGGGAGGGGTT